TTCAGCACGAAAAAACGATTTCCTGTTGGGAAATGATTATTTTTGGTTGAAAAAATCATCAATTTCTATTTTTAGTCCCTATTTTTAGCCCATCTTTGTAATTTTTTGTACTCTTTCGTCGAATTCAGACCAGTCCGGACTTCACATCGAAAAATTTTTATCAGCGAAAAGGATTATTAAAAAATTTACTGCAAAATTACCCTAATTTTTTCAATTTTCTACTACGCCTTTGCTCTTTCCACTTTCCGTTTTTTGGACTCTGCTCAATTATCGACGGCGAATTAAAGTTTATTTCAAAAAAGCGCAAAAATTATTGGCTTTTTGGGAATACTGTAGGTGAATAAAAAGTTTAGAGAGACTTTTGGATGCTCAAAAGCTCCGGAAATCCCTGGATTTGCAGCTTGGATTTCATTGGGAGCTTTGAAAAGCCATTCAAATACGAAATATCCAAGTTTTTGCCCTTTGGACTTGCTTTCATGGATAAATAAAAAGCCCTCCAAACTGCATTTTTATTTCGCCTTTATTGGAAACCCAGTCCATTCTTTGTTCGCTAGACTTTTATTGCAGTTTTATAATTGAGAAAGGCACAAAAAAGCGGCCGGAAATCCCAATAATAGCGGCCGAAACTGCCAAATAAAACTTTTTTTTCGAACTTGGCAGAGCAAAGTCCGAGAGCCCAGAATTATTGGGTTTTCCGGAGACGTTCCCCACTCATTGTTTGCTCAAGACGACGTGAATGAGCATGGGTTTGCAGGGTGCAAAAATTATGAGAAAATTCGAAGCGGAAACGATGCGGTTTCAACGTTCAAGACGAGACTACAAATCTTCAAATTCTGAAGGGTTTTTGAAGGGGATTCTGGGAAATTTGTGGTGTCATTTGGGAACCGAAGAAAAATAAAAACAGTGAATAGCAAATTGGCAAAAAATATGAGTCAAAAAAAGGATTGTTATCCAGTCTGACCCCATGAGTCAAGTTTTTCTCTCTCGAAAAAAACGCAGTTTGATGAAACCGAGCAAATTTATATCAGAATTTTCTACGGCATATCTGAGATTTTTAGCTCGCACTTTGCAGAAACCATCGAGATTTTTTGCCCGAAAATTGCAGGAAATTCGAAGTTTTTTTGGAGTTTTTTAGGGTTGAAATTTTGGCATTTTTCCACAATAAAAAACGCCATTTTTTCTACACTGGAACTCCAAAAAACGTCGAATTTCCCGCAATTTTCGGCCCAAAAATCTCGATAGTTTCTATGAAGTGCGAGCTAAAAATCTCGGATATGTCATAAAAAATTCTAATCTAAATTTGTTCCAAATTTCGTCAACCTCTGACCATCAAGTTTCAAAAAATCCCGACATTTTAATTTCTAAACTTTTGCACTCAAAAATCCAAGAAATCCGTCAGCATGACGCAATTTCTTCATTCAATCCCTCAAAAATTTCTATTTTTATTCCTCCGGCCCCGATGCACTTTTCAAATCACGTGAAGTTCCCTCAAAAAATCACCAATCCCCTTCGAATCCAAAGTCCGTTCATCCAGGGCAGGCGTTCAGCGGATCGATCATAACTTTGACAGGCGAACTTCACTGCGAACATGACATTTTCAAGTGCATTCAAAGCTAAAGGATCGTCCCAAACTCTCGAAAAAATCTTCAAAACAAAGAAAAAATAGATTTTTTTCTAGTATCCAGAGAAATAGTGTTATTACGTAACAACAAGGTTGAATCCTTCAAAAAATATTTCAATTTACGTCTGACGCTAAGTTTGGAAACTACAATTAGACCAGTCCTACAAAAACTGTCCGCGTAAACGGGGCTAAAATAGGACATACCTGGCAATTATAATACAAATGCAAAAATTTATATGCCGTTCGACATACAGTGACGAACTGCAATGTTCAAAACGTACGCTGCTGATAACTGTGTTAAATTTTACACAAGCGTTCAAAATCAAAGGCCAAATGCGACAACAACAAATTTGTCGGCCTTTAGCAAAAATTTTCACGATATTTCATTTGGGGTAGACGAGGTATTGGCCCAATATGTATAGCCAATGTAGCAAAATTCTTTGACCAGCCAGCCAATGAGTTGAAATCAAAACCAAATTTTTGTCAAATTTTTTGGCTAGCCGATCCAGGTTTTTGGCAAGCTATTAAAAAAATTTTAATTGTGATTTCAACTCATTGGCTGGCTGGACAAAGAATTTTGCAACAATGGCATACATATTGGGCCAACACCCGATCTGCCCCAAATGAAAGGTCGCGCAAATTTTTGCTAAAGGCCAACAAATTTGTTGTTGTTGCATTTGGCCTTTGATTTTGAGCGTTTGTGTAAAATTTCCCACAGTTATTCAGCAGCGTACGTTTTGAACTTTACAGTTCATCACTGTACGTCGAATCCGCCCCAAATGAAGAGAAGCCCAAAGTTGGAGTCAAACTTTTTTAAAAGTTGTATTAGTAAAGACTGGAATTAGGATTTTAGCGGCTCAGAAATTGCAAAGCCACCTAAAATACAAAATACAACATTTTTAATCTGTAAAAAAATTTTAATTTGTTTGAATACGTGACTTCTTACTATATTCTTTTTTTAATAAGTCTACATAAAAATTTTCCGTGGTTTCAAATGTCATACGGCCATTCTTTTTTCGCCTTCCGCCCTTTAATTGTAACCGAGAATTGCCCCCCGCAACAGGCCCCTCAAATTACATGTTTACGGATTCTGCACGGTGCGAGAAGCGTTTTAATTTGTTTATGGAAAAACGTGTCTACGGGTTTGCATACAAAACAGTGGATTTGAATAATCAGCCCGCTGACAAAGTATTAATAGAACCAAAGGCCAAAATTTTAATCATTTTGAAGACTAGTTATATTATCCATGGCATGTCAGATTAAAAGTTTAGAAAATCTCTATTTTTTTTAAAAACTACCCAAAATTTTGTTGCTCAAGAATTCCAAATTGATTTCTCTACCTTCAAAAAAGTCTAAAACAATAAAGCAAAAATAAAAAAAAAACATACTTTGGTCCTTTGCACTGCAGTTCACTGTGCAACGAAGCCGTTCAAAATACTTCTTCCTTTCCTCGGGAACCTCTTTTCGAATATTAATCCTTTGATGATGCAAGCGGAACCATCGTAAACTTTCGTTCTTTAGCCCTTCTATATCCGAAATTTTCTAATCTAAAACTAAAAAATTCTTAAAAAATGGAAAAAATTACAGTAACCAAGCAAAACACACGCAATAATACTCAATAGACAACATTTTAATTTAATTTTGACCCGAAGTTTAACGTTTAATTAAAATTCTAATCAACTTTTGATATTATCCATGGCAAATCTGCGGATTACACGGGATTTCCGTCAATTTTGAATCATAAAATGGCGACCTCGGATTAGGAAATTCTCATATCATGAGATGTTATCCAAGCAGCTCAGAAATGATGTAAATGACGAGACTTCCGAGGTTTACGTAACCAAATATTATTCATGACATAAACCAACAAAAAATGGGGAAATGAGGTAAAACAATATTTTCCTCGAATGCCTGATGGCATTGTTATTGTCTGTGACGTAGATTATGCGATATTCTATCCAAAAAAGTTGTGAATGGAAGTAAATTTTAGGCGAAAACCCGATTTTCGAGTAAAAGAAGACAATTTTGAGGATAAATCTCAAAAAACCCGAAAATTTCCTTCTATTTCTTGCGTGATTCGGCTAAAATTCAACATAACATGGGCCTAGGAAGCAGTGAACATAAATTGGCCGGCAAATTCTATCAAGTTTCAAGCTAAAACAAACAAAATTCCGATGTTACACCAGAATTTATACCTAAAATAACTTTTATACCTCAAAAATGAATCTAAACAGGTCTAATGCGCGATAATGCGGTATTAATAACAAAAAAACACAAGCAAAAATTCCCTTACATCCCAAAAACGTTCTAAAATTTTAGAAAATCAACTTCGAATCTTCAAGAAGTTCAGAATGCCAAGGATTTTGCAGTGACGTCAAAATGTTTTGTTGCGCGCGCAAAAGCGTCGCCACGTGTTGCCAAGCGTTGCATGACACGTGGACGAGTTTCCTCTCGGCATCATTTTGCTGTTCATTGCGTCATTCTGTTGTTGTAGTAGGTGGCGGCCGGCTTTTTGATGCCGGATTTGTTATTTTTTGGTACGTTACTGTAGTAAATTGTTTCTACTGCAGCTGTTGAGCTCTGTAGCGGTGTGATGAGCTTTTTCCGCCAAGAAGTTTCGATTTTTACCAGGTTTTTGACGAAACTTTCGTTGTTGATACCTAAAGTTTTTTGTAGACCATGAGCTATCCGCGTTTTCTCGTGTTTTTTTGGATTCGCATGTCATATACGTTTCGTTGACTTCAAATTTACCCTCTTTTTTCAGTGCAAGCCGACCAATCGATCATCTCCGGCTTCAGACACTCGCGTCCCATGGTGAACATAAGCCACTCCCCCTGCGTTCGGTAATGCTACTCGATATACCTTGAAATATGGCCAGACAGCTTGAATATGGGGTAAGTGTTTCTGTTGATTTGTTTTTTTTAAGTTTAGATCTAAAATGGGGGTATTCGGCCGATGTTATACTAGAGATCAGTAGGAGCCAATGGAAGCTTGGTTGCTGCTGTAAATTAGGGATTCCTTGATTTTTTTGTCTACAAGCTTCTTTGTTGGCTTCTGGAGGCATTATAACCCCCTTTGCGAATAAAATTTTGGAATTTGGGTGCTCTTGACCTTGTACTTGATTTAGTTATCAATTCCTTTATTTCAGATTGCAACTTGGGTTTTCTCAACAGCTCTTCCTGAACTTGGACATGCTGCCATGAGTAGAACTCACAAAGTTCCGGATGAACTCTGGCTTCGCCTTCACACCACACCTCGCGACGTACAACTCTACAGCATCAACTAACCAGCTCAAACGACAACGTCTCGATTCGACTTTGCCAATGATCGACAACAATGGTTGGATTTGCCAAACTTGAACACATGACGGGGATTTCATATGGTGAGTTTTATTTTCTGTTTTACATTATTTTAGGGATGAATAACATAAAATTTGCTGAAGTTTATGTTTTTCTTTGATTTCAGAGCTTCCACTTAGTCTCCTCTAGCTCGCCAACGGGTTCACTTCTTCATCAGAGCTCTGTTCTTGACCATCATCAGGAGTGCCGTTCTCAATTCATAATTCACGATCTTCGAATTTTCTGGACGTCGCTCAGGATCAAAGTCTCCTTGGCATCAGATGTTCTTGTAAGTTTTTTTTGTTTTTTGCTTCGATATTTAGGAAAAAGGGCGAATCTCGAAGGAAGTGCTCACGAAGGACGGAAAGGTCCGCTGTGCGGAAAGGTCCGCTGCGCGGAAAGGTCCGCTGTGCGGAAAGGTCCGCTAAAAAAAAGAAAAGAGGAGGGCGGGGAGGGGAGGGGGGAGGTTTTCGAAGGCGCTGATTTCGAATATCGTATCCATTTTTTCTGAATCTTACAATTTTGCTTAGGCAGTAGTGTTAACTAGTAATTTTTAAAAAAAGACGTAAGTTATATTGTACTTGGCGTTTTGATTTTTAGGTGTGACTAGTCTCGAAAAAAAATTTTTTTGAAATGTTTTCGCTTCGAGACTTGAAAAAAAGGATTTTTTGTGAAATTTGAAAAATAATTTAAATGTTTTCTCTTCGGGATTGGGAAAAAAAAAAATTTTTTGGAAAATTCAACAAAATTTTGAAATCTTTTCGCATCGGGAATAGAAAAAAGGCTGTCTGACTGAATATTAACTGTGGTGCCGCCAGCACTAAAATTTTGTCTAAAACCAATGGTACCACCTGGTACTTTTTATAGTACCACGTGTTTTTGGGCTTTACTAAGCACCAAACCATCACCATTACTGCCTTACGGCCAAATTTTCACTTCTCACTAAACAGTACCAGTTGGTACTATATAGTACCAAGTGTTAAAACGTGTTTTTGGGTTCTACTAAGCACCAAACCAACGCCATTACCGCCTTACGGCCAAATTTGCACCTCGTACTAAATAGTACCAGGTAGTACTATTTAGTACCAAGTGTTAAAAATGTGTTTTTTAAGCAGTACTAGGCACAAAAACAACACCATTAACGTCTAAAAGGGTTATAAGTCGAAAAAATTTCAACAAGAATCCCTAAAGGTAGTAAAGTAACAGAAACCCAGTTTTCATATTCAGTCAGTTCATACTCAGTCAGCTCGAAAAAAATTCAAATTTTATTCAAATTTCACAAAAAAATCCTTTTTTCCAAGTCCCGAAGCGAAAACATTTCAATTTTCACAACTAATCCTTTTTTCCAAGTCCCGAAGCGAAAACATTTCAAATTTTATTCAATTTTCACAAAAAATCCTTTTTTCCCACCCTCTTCTTTTCCTTTTTTTAGCGGACCATTCTGCACAGCGGACCTTTCCGTCCAGCGGACCTTTCCGCACAGCGGACCTTTCCGTACTCAATCGGAAGTGCTGGGACAAAGGGCACAGCTCGGAAACTTTTGTTTTTTTTTTGCCGAGCTGCGTCCACAGTACGTTGCTTCTTTATGGGTTGTTTTACCCTCTTATGAGCTTCATATTGTTGTAGACGTTTATTTTATTATTTATTTACAGATTCCATCGCATCGTCACATCAGCATAGCCTCTCCTCTTCAACTTTTCGTCACATATCGACCATTTATGGACCTCAACAGCAACATACCGATCACAAAGGACCTCCACCCCCAGCAAATGCAACTGAAGTTTGGATAACATTCTGGACATCATGGACTGGTAATTTATTTGTTGGATGTTGAATATATATTATTGTATAAGATATAATAACATAGAGCTTTATTGGATAAGGTAGTCAGTAATAGTAATTGGAGAATATTGTTTTCTCTATCAAGGCCAAAAGCCTTTTATAAAAAACGAGAAGTGGGACTCGAGTTTCGGGGTGTCAAAGTTGTGACCACAGTAGAGGGGGAGTCGGGGGTCTCGGAGTTGTTCAGCCTTGGGTGTCGGGAGAGTTGAACTCCCTCTTATGCTTGGGGCTAGTACCGGAGGTAACCAAGGGCTGGTAATCGGAGTACCCCGGGTTCCGTTGACCCGGAACTGGTACCCAAGGCGGATCAGCGGCTCTGCTTTCACTAGTCCTTGTGAAAATGCTGGGAAAAGTGGGACGGACGCGGGGCTATCGGTTATAACAACCAAAAAAGTTGAGAAAGTATATTGCGAATTGCCATCTTCCGAAACGAGCGGAGGCTGTTGATGTGGAAGATCGGTCGACCGATTGGATGCATTTTCAAGGCCTTTGGCCAACCCTTTAAAAACCGACCTAACCCTGTGAGGACGGCTGTTTCGGATAAATCAAGCTGGAGCCACCGGTACGCCGCAGAGTTCGGTAATCGGTGGTGCCGAGACCTGGGGCGCTCGGCCGAGAGTCCTCTTTCCCCTCCGAGCAGCCATGAGCGGGGGCCCGTGTGCTGGTCCGAAGTTAAGGCGGGTGAACGAGGTCCCCAACGTGGGTAATGTAGCGAAAGCTCGCCTCTATACCGCGGTCGGCACTATGGTTCCGGCTTAAAACGTCCCACGAGACGTAGCCCGGGTTATGAGGTCAAAACCACTTTGAAATTTCAGCTTCACTACGTAAGTTTGTGGAGGATCGTAGAGGTAAGTTTTGAGCAGTGCGCACAAAGTAGGGGGATGGCAAAATCGCAGCAAATATACAGTTTTGTTTGTTTTTTCTTTTTTGTTATAACCGGTATCCCAAAAGTCATCCCACTTTTCCCTGCATTTTCGATCAACAAGGAGTAGTGAAAGGAGAATCGCGGTGAAAGCCACGACTGGCAAAGCGGCAATACCGGCCGAAACGAGAAGTCCGCCGCTTGAACCGACGGGAAACACCCCAAGATAAGTTGGGATAGACAATCCTTGACATCCCTGGCTTGAACAGTAAACCGGACCATGGGGTCTATACCACAAAAAGTGGAATAGACACTGGGGCCAAACTTGTTTGGCTTTAGGGGAGTGCTCACTCCTTTTTGTGGCCACAACGGCGATACTCAAAGAAGCTAGAGTCCTAGATATTTTTATGTACCCTTATCAGAGAAGAGAGTTTACTCCCATATACTATTACTACTGCTAAGAATAGTTGTAATTGTTGATGATATTGTACTGTAATTTACCCTAACATACCCTATATTATGATATTGTTTTGTTTGATTTTATGTATTACCATTACTCTGCTTTGCGATGTAATTCTGTAAGATGTTATAGATTGTTGTATTTTATTAGTTTTTGAGTTGTTTAGATAGTTAAAATTGATAATTTTGTGGGTTTATTGACTATTTTGGCTCAGTGAGCCTATTTTGGTTGAATATTCTTGTTTTTTCTTCGGTATCTCGATTTGAATCATCATGGAGAAGAGTTTTTAGCACGAAATTTTCTTCTGGAGGTCCGAATCCCTCATGTTTCGACTCCTTCGATCTATGGAACATCATTGTGTTGTGAATGGAGAAAATGGTTGAAAATGGGGATGAATTTTATGGAAATCGATTGTATAGCAATCTATTGATTACGGCAAACGCGAAAGGTGTGATTTCTCGAATGAAGGGGCATAAAATGGCTGCAATTACGAGAACTGTCTATTCAAGGCGTTATTTTGGCCGAAAAATTTTGTAAAAGGGGCAATGAAATCGTATTTCATAGACTTACCTTGTTCGTATATTGCATTTTTATGGATTATGTTACATTGTAACTTTAAAATTTCGTTCAAAAAAATCGAAAATCGGCTAAAATATCACCACCTTACCCATGATGTCACCTGCTCGCCATTTCCTCGTATATGCCACAGGTTTTTTGGTGCCGACAGGTGAAAAGTTACTGTCTGAGGGTGGAAAGTGGAGTAAGTTCGCATTCAAAGAACGAGTTTACAATTTAGATCCACTAAAAAGTAATGTAATTTGGGCGGGAATTAAAAGTGGGTACAGAATTTTTAAAAGCTGGCCTTTATGTAAGGAGTAGTTATATAGTAATTCGGGGAAGTGAGGGTTTTCTGAGAACGCAAAAATAAGCATAACTTGGAATAAATAATTGAAAAGGAACTGATTTTTGGTGAAAGTTGGAGTTAGAGGAAATTTTCTTGGAAAAAGCGAGAAGAATCGTCGATTATTGGGCTGAAGGCTCATGCGAAGTGTCAAAATCAGTGGAAACAATCGAATTACAACGAAATTTTTTGAACGAAAGTATTTTCAAAAGGCTTTGGGACCTTGTTTTAGCCTAAAATGACGTCTAGTTTAATAAACAGAGTGCTCAAGGTGTACGTTTCAAATTCACATCAATTTTTGCATGGGGCTTTTTTCTGTATCACATACCAATTCTGCCAAATTTCAGCTTGCGCTGTGTTGGTACAGCCGGGATATTCAACGATTTTTGCAAACGAGAGACCATGGAAAATGGGGAGGGATGACCCGAGAAAATTGAAAAGTTGCCTCGATTTAGCAGACTTCTGGTTTTTACTGTGGCAAAGTATGGTTTAGAGTGAAGGAAGGTAGTGTCAGTAATAATCAAAATAAGAAAAAGTGGTCGTATTGTAAGTCTTCACCGAGCTTTTTCTTATAGGCTTTCGTGGCAACGCCTACAAAATTTTCCTGGACCTGTCTTACGCCTCGTATCGATTGATTTTGCGTTGACCCGAACTGTCGTCGACCTGAAATGTTGGTACACGGAATTTTTCTCTCCGAAAAGAATTATGTAATAAAGCTTTCTCTGGCCACTCTCCTCGTCTTCCACAGTCTCTGAACTGCCAGAAATCGTTCAAAAACCCATCAGAATCTACTATTATACAAAGAGCGAGCTGAAAATTTGCAGTGTCGATCTATAGCCTAGGCTTTCACACCTCAACGGATTTTTTTCTCTATTTAGATTCATTGCACACAGTTATCGCCCTTTCAACTCCGGCTTCTTGATCTCTCAAAAAATCTCACGCCTTTCACTTTTTCGGATCAAAAAAAGCGAAATTTTCTTCCGCTATGACCCAGATAACCTGGATAACCGATCTTCATAACAGCTTTTATCAAGCTTCCAAACATGTTGAAACACGCTGTGATTTTTCTAATTGCAACTGAATTATTGGTGGAATGTTGCCAAATTGAGCTGAGTTTGAGGTCAAACACCGACTATCCTTTCCAGTTCGAGGCCGAAGTGCCATCGATTAAAAAGAAAACGGACAGGACAACGATGACCAAGATTGGACAGCAACGCAAGGTCAAGGTGGGTTGGAATTTGACAAGGGAAGTACTCGATGTTCGACGCTCAGATTTTCTGCAAATTTTGCACACATTTCGGATATGGGTCACATACCGATCGCTGAAAATTTTTGCTTCCGCTTTGCAGGGGGAGCCGGGACATTCAACGGTTTTTGCGGCCTAGAGAGCACGCGAAAGTTAAGTGCGGTGAGGCGAAAACTCTTTTTGGCCATATATGGCTCGGGACTTCTAAATCTCTCCGCAAGAGTCCATCCGAACCCTGCAAATTTAGTCCAAAGTTAAAAGTTGACAAAAAAGGAGGAGACGACAGAGAAAGGCAGAAATTCTTACAAAGAGAGAAATTGCGCAATATTATGTCAGATTGCGCAACTTTTAACTTTGTACTAAATTTGCAGGGTTCGGATGGACTCTTGCGGAGAGATTTAGAAGTCCCGAGCCATATATCTTTGTCAGTTTCACATGGAAAAAATTGATTTTTTGTGGAAGCATTGCTCTCTACAGTAGAAATAGCCCTGAAACTTTTGTATCAAAAATTCGCAAAAAAGTGTCGGATTTTGACCAACTTTCGGTCAAAAAATCTCGGGTTTTTTCTGCAGAGCGCGGGCTAGGAGTCTCTAATTTGTGTCACAATCAGAAAAAATTATTCACATAAGTTTATGCAAACGTAGGCCAAGTTTCCTTCCTCCACAAGGCTCATTTTGTCGAGGAGTTGGGGAAGAAATCCGTCGAAATTGTTGACGATAATGTCATTGTCCATAGTAGAGCGCTGAAATTAAGGAGGGTTTGTTAAAATACGCCCTGGATAACTTGTTACGTTTTTGAGATTTTATCAGTCTGTCGGGAAAATAATGTGGCTTCGTCGCGCCTTGGAATCACCCATCATCGCCTTGCGGCTTTTTTTTTGGAGGCTTTGACTGCGAAGAGGCGCGAAATTTCGCCGCGAAAAATCCACGCTATTTTCCCGACAGACTGATAGTGACCTACTATTAGTATCTTTCCACAAAGGTACTACATATAATACGCTTGCAATACGATGTAATTTCCAGATCAACGGACCCTCCTGCTCCCACAAAACCTGGATTTTCCGGACCTACAAGCAAACCAAAGATGGGAAATGGGTCCCGGCCGAGACACACACCGCCAAATTGGACGGGAATGGAAGAGCTTTGATCGCCGTAAACGATGCTTACATTCCCGTTATAAGTGATCGAATCGGAGTCACTTGTTCTGAAGCCGTGATCTGCGCAAGGGGATAAATAAATTCATGGATATGTCATCATTTTTTGAGCAGTGAAATTTTGAATAATAAACTACATATTTTTTACCCGACTTTTGAGGAGATTTTTTGACCCACTTTCCCTTTTTTTGTACCGTAAATCCCTGTATAAAAGCGGAATTCGTTTAGAAATCGCAGTTTGAAACAGAAATTCGGCGATGAAACCGTTGAATTTTCTTTTTTCTTTGATCTCGTTGACTTCTGCTTGCAATATTGCGTTCACTGTGCGTTCAATTTCCAATGAACGGCTCCAATTTGAGGCGGAGATCCCGAAAATTCGGCAAATCTCGAATCGAGTTGAGCTGGGGAAATTTGGACAAGAGGCGAATGTTACGGTAGGTGTGCAAAGCCTTTTTATATAACAAAAGACGCTCTTCAGTAAGGGCAACTGATTGTGTGACGGAAGAGGATTATGTAATTGTCTGTTTGTCGGGAAAATAATGAGCACTCTGTCGGATCGAAAATCGCATCGCCGCCGAGAAAATGAATTGTGGCGCGGTAAAATCAAATTGCTTTTCATTTCGGCGACGGTACTGATTATTTCCCCGACAGACTGGTATGGAGATTTGCGCTCTCTTTCGCACAGTGCAAAAAGTGGAGTTTTTTGTGTACGGTGTGGGCCGCTGCAAATGCCCATGCACTTTATGAAAATAGTCATAGCGCGCGCTTTGCAGAAACAGCACTTTATGGAAATACTAATATTCTCTTTATAAGGGTATTATTCAAGGTGCGACGCTCAAATTTTCTGTAAATTTTGCACGCAAAATTTGCAAAAAAGTGTCTTTTTTGGCCTAAAATTTATCGGTCTTCCTGCAAAACACGCGCTAAAATTCTCAGCAATTCAGCTTGATTGTCATGAAATAAAGTAAACACAGAGACATTGGATCCACAATCCTTCCCCATCTAAAGATCTCTGACGCTGTAGTTCAGTTCCCATCTTCTTCTTGCCAAAATCAGCTCTGGACTTTCCGAACCTTCAAGCCGGACGCTGACAATGCCTGGAGTTTGGCGCAATCCTCAACGGCGAGGTTGGATGGGAGAGGCAGAGTTTTGTTGATTGTCGACTTCCGACGACATATTTCGATTGCGGATCGGTGGGGAGTCAGTTGCTCTGAGTCGATGATCTGCTCTAGAGGCTAAATTATAATGATTTTTACTTTGAATCTTATCAAAAAAAAAAGAGATTGTGAAAAAACAAGTAAAAATTAGTTTTACTTTCAATTTACAGGGGAAATGCTTCAATTGCGACGCTCAGATTTTGATGAAACTTGGCAAAAATTTCGAAAATTTTTTTTGAGACATATGCGAGATAACGAGCTTGTGTTTTGCAGGAACGATCGAGATTTTTAGATCGAAAGTTGTCAAAAAATGCGAAAATTTTTTGCGAATTTTGGCATGAAAAGTTTCATATTTATTTCTACCGTAGAGAGTAATGTTTCCACAAAAAAATCAATTTTTTCCGCGCGAAACTAACGAAGTTACGGCCAAAAAGGGTTTTCTCTGACCGCTCTCCGCATTTCGGGTACTCTCTCGTCAGATCGTCAAATAACTCGGCTCTTCCTGAAATTTGCGGGATAAAACTTTCAGGAATTGATATGTGGTCTATGCATAACATATGTGCAAAATTTAAAGAAAATCTGAGCGTCGGACTTGAAGTAATTCGATGTTAAACATGGTCGTTAAAGAAGGACAATTGAAATCCGGAGGGTCTCTTCTCCTTCATGTTGAATCCCAAAAGCATTCGAATCTTCACTTCATTGGCGGTGTATTCCATTACCATCATATTCTCCTTCTTTTCCACGTCATTCACTTGATGGTTGAAGAGATTTTCGACGAGTTTTGTCCAGTTTGATGATTTTAGAAGCTGGAAAAGAAAATTCACATAAATTGTTGAATATACGGTAGAAAAATAATGGATTATTTGTAAACTACGAGAAAAACTTCGGTTTTCCTCGAAAGAGACCCCGGAATCGGGGGCTCTTTCGATGTTTGCCTGAAATGGCCGAAAAGGTCAAAAGTAGGGTAATCGATGGCGTAGATTCCAAAAATCATACTCGTTTTTCCCGATTCCTACTTTTTTGCTTAAGTAGTAATGTTAAAATGTATTTTTTTGAATTTTTTCGAAAAATAGTCGATTTAGGGGTTTTCGAGGGTAAAAAAAGTAACTATCAACAAAATGAACGTCATTTTCGAAATCAGCACCCTCGAAAACCCCTAAATCCAGTATTTTTAGAAAAATTTCAAAAAATTACTTTTTAACATTACTACTTAAGCAAAAAAGTAGGAATCAGAAAAAACGAATATGATTTTTGGAATCTACGCCATCGATTACCCTGGGGGTCTCTTTCGATGGCTTTCAAAAACTTCAGAGTTTTTTGAAAAAATTCAATATTTTTCGAAAATTTTTTTCTCCGAAAAAATCAAAATTTTTTTTTTCAAAATTTTCCACCTTATCAATAACACTGTAATCCACAACGACCGTCGGTGTTCTTGTCTCCATTTTCGTCTCATTCAACGCCCTTGTCAGCCCGATTAAATTATTTTGCAAAATTTTCAATTCCTCCTCCAAATTTCCATCCACATTCACGTGGGACTCGCTATAAAGCCCCAAAGGCTCTTCGATATAACGGTACTCTTTCAAAATCTCCAGACATTTTTTGTAGAAACTGAAGGCATCTTGAGCATTTTCGTTGATCGGATCAAAGTAAATCCGCTGAATTTTGTGGAGACTTCTGACCGCGAATTCCGTAAAAGGCTCGGTTATGAAGGGCAGATCTTCCAGGAATTTGACCTAAAAAAGTTTTTTTTGCTCATTTTTACTCGTCAGCTTCTGAAATGGATAAAAAAATTGAGAATTTTTGCACAGTGCAAAAATTTTTTTTCGGAAGTCTGCACGGTGCAAATATTTTTTTGTGAAAAATAAATCCGCACAGTGCAAAGATGTTTTGGTGAACAATAATCATTAATTATAAGTCTGTACTGTGCAAAAACGTTTTTTTCATAATTCCAGTGCAAATTTTTTGCTAAATCTGCACAGTGCAAATTTTTTTTTCTTCAAATTCTGCACTGTGCAAAATTTTTTTTCTAACCATAATGTAACCATTGCACTGTGCAAAAAAATTTTTTTTCCAAAATTCTGCACGGTGCAAAAAAATTTTTCCAAAATTATGCACAGTGCAAAAAAAAAATTTTTTTTATTGACATGGTACTCCAAGTGCGACGCTCAAATTTTGATGAAACCTGGCAAAAACTTTGCTTAATATTTGCTAAGACATATGCAAAATTTCTAGCTCGCCATTCGCAGAAAAAATTGAGATTTTTAGATCGAAAGTCGGCCAAAATTTAGGACTTTTTGCCGAATTTCGGCACGAAAAGTTTCATGCCCATTTCTGCCGTAAAAAATAATTTTTCTACAAAAAATCAAATTTTTCCGCACGAAACTGCCAACGTTATGGCCAAAAATTTTTCTCTGACCGCTCTCCACGTTTAGCGTGCTCTCTCGGCGGCAAAGATCGTTCGATATCTCGGCGACGCCTGCAAAGCGCGAGCTAAAACTTTCAGGAATTGATATTTAGTCCATACCCGACGTGTGTGCAAAATTTTAAGAAAATCTGCACTTGGGGTACTTCCCCTGTGAGTAAATTTTTGTTTTTCAAATAAGAAAACCTAAAAAAATTAAAAACTAAGATTTCTACAATATTTTCTACTATTTCCACTACTTACCTGCAAAGTTTGAGAAGTCAAATCGATGAAACTCCTTATCGGATATTGCTCTTGGCTATAAAATGGGCACTTCTTCGGCAAAGTAATCGAAAATGGCCTGGGGTCAAAAATTAATCTCACATGGATCGTAACTATTAGTCCCTCGACATTGTAATCGAAAGTAAATGCAGTCGTATCTTCAATGGCATCCGCATTTATATAACGTTGAATTATTTGCAAAAAGGGAAAGGAAATCGGTCTTTTCTGAAAGGATTAGAAAAATAAAAAAACTGATCATAAAATAACCTACACTGTAATCGAAGAACCATTCAGTATGATAAACAAAGTACTTTAGCGGCAATTCGGCGGCTTTGGAACCTCGGATTACCGCTCGAATCGCGGTTAGCAACGTTTTTATCTCCGAATCCAGGTCTTTTGTCGTCTGAAATCGTTTGTTATATGAAAATATGTCTTGTGGACATCGTATTTTACAGTTCCTTTGCTTTTTTTAACGAAAGGAACAGTTTTAGCAAGTTGAAACGGAATGCCAAAAATGGCGGGAAATTTGAATTTTTTTAAATTAAAAAATTTATTTTCGCATCCGTTTGATCCAAAATGATTTTTAAAATACGTATTAAGTCTCCTTGTTTCAATTTTGCTCATTGAAACAGAATGCCAAAAATGGCGGGAAATTTGATTTTTTAAATTTTGAATTTTTTTCTGATGCCATGAGTACTGTAAATAGGCCAAAAATAAATTGCCGAAATTCTTAGCTTGTCCTTTCAAGGTACAGCCGAGATATTCAACGATCTTTGCAAACGAGAGACTATGGAAAATGAGGAGACACGGACGTCAGAGAAAACCTTTTTTTTCACTACAATAGTATTTAAAGTACGTCTCGGAGTTTGTCGGGTAAATAATGAGTGCTCTGTGGGATCCAAAATCGCATCGTCGCCGAAAAAAAATGAATCGTGTGGCGGCAAAATCAAAATTTTTTTGATACTCTAGATTAGAAATAAAACGCTGTTTTTTGTATCAACAAATTTTAAAAACATAAAAATTTTTTTAAATTTCGGATTAAACATCTCAAAAGTTTCTGCTAAGCGCGACTCAAAAAATCAGACATGTTTTTAAAAAGTTTATTTTTTTAAATCAAAATTTTTCCTCAAAAATCAAAACCCCTACCTTGGTCCCAATCCTGCTTTTATGGCCTCCCTCGAGCGTCACCATTTTCAAATTTTCATTTCCATTTTTCAAATTCGCAAAGCATTTTTGATAAAATTCTTCTTTCAGACTCTTCAGCTCAACATCCATAGAAACTGCCCCTGACAAATCGTTGATTTGCCCCGATTTTTCCGCGAATTCCTCGAGTTTCGGGTCCTCACGGAATCTCCACTCCGAATTTTTCATCTCCTCCCGAAATGGAGTGATTTGCATATGCAAATTTGTGGGGAAAAATGTGGGCAATTGAAGGGAGATTAGATGGGTCTCTTCGGCGTTGAGAACATAGCCGTAACGACCGAGATGCTCGCGATAAATGAGATGGACGGCGTCGGGGAGGAGTGTCGAGGGATCGGCTGAGATTATCGCCTGAAAAAAAAATATTTGGAAATTTTTAAAAATCCCAAAAATTTATCTTACTTAACAGTGGAAAACATATGCTTTTTTGGAAAAGAAATGTCTTCGGATTTTGATAAAACTTAGGACAAATCAAGAATAAAATTTTTACCGTTTCATAACATTTTTTCAGCCAACATTTTGCAGAGATCAACGGGCAGCCGTCTTTTTGCAATTTTGAGTAAAAATTTTCTACAAAAAATCTTTTTTTTTCTGCGCAGAATCTCAGGCGATAAAGCAAAAAAAAGAAGTTTTTTCTAACCGTCTCTTCATTTTCTATGCTCTCTCGTCTGCAAAGATCATTCAATATCTCGGCTCTCCCCGCAAAACGAGAACTAAAATTTTTAGGAAATGAAACGTGACCTAAGTAGATTCTATCACCAGAATTTGAGGAGAATCCAAAAGTCCCAGGCAGAGATATCGACGTTATATTGTAGTAGGTTCAAGCTTACATTATAAGGGAACGCCAGTCGAATATCGGCAAAAAAGTGATCAACAGTGATTTCTGCTTCCTTGGCAGCCTGAATAATGGCGTTATATGAGCCGGAGATCAGTTCAATCTCTTCTAGCCAGTCTTCCGTGGTCTGAAAGTTCAAATTTTCAAAAATAAACCCCTCAAAAATCCTTTCCAATCCCAGTATCTCAATCCATTCTACCGTATCTTAAAATGCCAACCCATTGAAACTCACCCCATTCTCACAGCCATACATATATCCGCCATTTAGAGTGATGTTTCTCAAATTTGGCGCTGACTTTTTCAAATTTGCAAAAATTTTTCGATAAAACTCAAGTTGATCATGCTGAAAAGACAGATATAAGGTCACATTTAGGCCAATGATCTTGCAGATTCCAGCTTCGGCCTCCAAATCCGGCGGGGAATGGAAGAATTCGAATGGGCGATATTTTATACGCTGAAAGATGTAGTCATAGGACAAATTGGCCACATCTTTGTTGGTGTTGAAGGCTGAAAATTTTGGAATTGATAAGTTATACACCAATTTTCAGTTTGAGGACTTTGAGTTCTGAAATTTTAAAAAATCCGTCATGATGACGAATTTTTCGAAAAAATTATGATTTTTAGTAGTAATAGTAAATTTGTGAGGGTAAAACGCAGTGTCAAGAAAACTTCGAGGCTTCCTGATTATTTTTCTGTCGGTTCCGTCATCAGGATGACGTATTTTCTGGAAGTTTTGCACAGTGCAATGATTTTTTCGAATTTTTCACTGTACCAAAAAACCCTAAGGGTTTTAAAAAGTAAAATAATGATTTTACAACCAGTAAGGCCTATTAATCCTAAAAGCAGTCAAAATCAAATCCTTTCACATCAAAATTTTAGACTAATTTACCTTTCATGTTCTCCTTGAACTCCAAGCTTTCAAAACAAAGAAAAATAATATCAAACCTCAAGCAACCACTCTATAAAAATCCTTTTTATCCTCCAGAACGGCTGTACACGTCGAAAAAATAATCAAAAAGAACGACTTTAGAGGGCACCTGTTGGTTCAAGCAGGCTCATGAACTCGGCGTAAAAATGGGTGAAAATGCAAAGTGTGGGTGGAGAAAAAGATCAAAACAAGTTGTAACAGTATCGACAAGGTCTATCGATTATTTTAATACCAAAAACAGTATAACTTTTAGGTTTGAATAGCTAAATTTTGCCTAGATACCATCAGATGTCAAGTGTAATATAATTGGTGTTTTTAATGTGAATTTCAATTAAAATTGTGAATATGACATTAATCTTTAGTTGCCAGAGCCTCCAGCTTTCAATCTAAATTTCAATTTTCATCAAAACCAACAAATTTTCATCGTATAAAATGTCCCGAGCCCCTTGGGCGCAGCTCGCCGCCATAATCTTTTTCTTTTTACCTTTTTTCACGTTTTGCTCTGTACAACAAGTTGGAAAGAGACCCCGTTCTGGTCCGTTGACCCATTTTGAGTGTCAGTTACGGGTTCTAAATGGTTTCAACGTCTTGATTCACATCAATTCGAATTGTTTGATATCGATTTTTGCAGATCCAAGATTTACTGGCCAAAGATCTCCAATTCGGAAGACGCCGAAGGGCAAATGTTGGACTCGTCGTCTTCCGGCTACCGGCGGATGGGAGGAAGGTGAGGGTTGACGTTTCTTGTTTGATTTTTAGATAAGTTATATTGCACTTGGTCGGCTATGAATAATATCGCTAAAAATGGATAATATTTAGAGGAAGGCCGTGAAATGTATTTAAATAGAGTCCTTATGATGTGTGGAAGCTTTTCGGACACAAGGATCGCAATTTGCTTTCTATTTTTGGACTTTGTGATTGATATTACACTTGACATCAATTGGTCTCTAAATTTCGAAATTTTTTGATCTAAACTAAAAATAGGCTTTAGGTTGTTGCTTTCAATTAAGGATAGGCTGTTTTATAGTTTATGCTTAAACGTTTCCAGCCTAATTTATATTATCCATGTTTCAGATCCTCACCTCCAAGAAACGTTTTCTTTTTTGGAGTCCTTTTGATTCTCGTGGTGCTGTTCTCAGTGTTCTTCCTTTATCTTTCGGCGTCCAATGATGTGACCACAATACGAAAAGAGCTTCAATTCTCGAATGATAAGATGGCCAAACTAAAAGACGATCTTTTGAGTAAGGAAATTGGCTTGAAAGGTGTTGAAATGGTATTCTAATTTTAGATGCGAACAACGAGCTGGAGATCGTTAAGAATCGTTTGAACACCTGCGGGCAGGACAAAAATAAGGCGGCGGCTGATCTGGAAGGTGAATATTTTTTTTGTTTTTTCTTGAAATTTAGGTGCATAACTGGAACAAGATGAAGTTTTATTGAAAGTATAAGATCTGTTTGACGATTTAATGGCAAACAACTTCATGAAGTTTTATTTTTTCCATCTAAAATTCATAATTTTCGCCTGGGCACCTAGAATAATATATACTCCCCGTACAATGTTTTGACCCCCCTCCTAACTCGGTCCAAGGTGTACTAATTCGGACCAAATTTGGTATGTAGTATACTCACAGGGTAGTAACAAAAAATAACATAGCTGGACCTACCTTATAGTTGAATTTCAAAATCTATGGGCAATTTTCAAAAATCACCTTAAAAAATCGAGGAAAAAGTTTTGACCCCCCTTAAAAAAACGTTAGATATCGCCAGCGGATGCCACGCAAACCTATTGTAATCTACGTCCCATACCTGAATACAGGTTTGTGAATGGTTTTCCGTTGAATGCTTCGTTGCATTTGAGTATTCAACGCGTTAAACCGTTTTTGGGCGTCGCGACACTTGCGGGCAACCACTTTGCGGGCAACCAGTTTGCGGGCAAATTTTTTGCGGGCAACCACTATGCGGGCAAAATTTGGGGGGTCACATTTGCGGGCAGCTGAAACATTTGCGGGCAGCTGAGACACTTGCGGGCAGCCTGGGACACTTGCGGGCAACCGACACTTGCGGGCAGCCGACATTTGCGGGCAACCGGCACCTGATGGTAACTGGGTGGAGGTGGAAATATTACTGCGATATTTTGGAAATTTGCCGACATTTGCGGGCAGCCGACACTTGCGGGCAGCCGACATTTGCGGGCAACAGGAAAAAACAATCACACAGACTGTATTGGTACTTTTGGAACTGTTGCCCGCAAATGTCGGCTTGCCGCAAGTATTGCCTGCCCGCAAATGTCGGAAAATTACCAAAATATCGAAGTAATTTTTCCACCTCCACCTTGTTATCATCAAGTGCCGGTTGCCCGCAAATGTCGGCTGCCCGCAAATGTCGGCAAATTTCCAAAATATCATAGTAATTTTTCTACGTCCATCCTGTTACCCTCACAATCAGGTGTCGGTTGCCCGCAAATGTCGGCTGCCCGCAACTGTCGACCCTGCCCGCAAATGTCCCAGGCTGCCCGCAAATGCCGGTGCTGGCCGCAAATGTCGGCTGCCCGCAAAGTGGCTGCCCGCAAAAGATTTGCCCGCAAACTGGTTGCCCGCAAAGTGGTTGCCCGCAAGTGTGCGCCCGCCCGTTTTTGATGTAGACCTGCCCAAAATTGTAAAAGTCTTGCCCTAGCGCTTTCCTAGAGCTCTAAATTGGGTTTATATTATGTGCTTTAGACCTGTATTTACCTTCTCCTTTCAATAAAAGTGCATGGTGGCCTGGCGGTGTAGATTCGGCAGATACCCTCTTGTCATGCCCAGCCTTGGTGAGCCATTTGCTCTTTGACTCAAGGTCGAGATGTGGTCGTTAGGTCCTCAGTGTAATCCTGAGACTCCTAGTTACTCTCAAACAAAGAATAAACTCCGGCTAACACGGTCTCATATGGTTTTCAGGCGCAACTTCGCCGATCTGCACCATAACGAAAAACCCGCGTTTTTCAAATGGATTTTTAGCCACCAAAAACGGCTTTCATTTGATGGACCAGGTAGTTTAAGACGCTACAGCACCCACCATACTCATTTGAGACGTATGAAACGCCAAATGGGAGGTGGGGATGTAATAGTACTCGGAGTCATCTACAGTAACGGCAAACTTAAGATTAAGGTGAATGAAACCCATTACAAAACGTGTCAAATCAAAACATTTTACATTACTGAGAGTAACTAGGAGTCTCAGGATTACATTGAGGACCTAACGACCACATCTCGACCTTGAGTCAAAGAGTAAATGGCTCACCAAGGCTGGGCATGACAAGAGGGTATCTGCCGAATCTACACCGCCAGGCCACCATGCACTTTTATTGAAAGGAAAAAGAAAATACAGGTCTAAAGCACATAATATAAACCCAATTTAGAGCTCTAGGAAAGCGCTAGGGCAAGATTTTTACAATTTTGGGCTGTTCTACATCAAAAACGGTTTAACGCGTTGAATCCTCGAATGCAACGAAGCATTCAACGGAAAACCATATATTAACCTGTATTCAGGTATGGGACGTCGATTACAATAAGTTTGCGTGGCATCCGCTGGCGATATCTAAAGTTTTTTAAGGGGGGTCAAAACTTTTTCCTCGATTTTTTAAGGTGATTTTTGAAAATTGCCCGTAGATTTTGATATTCAACTATAAGGTAGGTCCAGCTATGTTATTTTTTGTTACTAGCCTGTGAGTATACTACATACCAAATTTGGTCCGAATTAGTACACTTTGGCCGGAGTTAGGAGGGGGGTCAAAACATTGTACGGGGAGTATAATTTTAGTCTGAATTTCCTCTTTCAGCCTGTACCAACTCAAAGACCTCGGATCAAAAGAGGGTAGAAGAGCTAACCAAGCAAAATAAAGACCTTCAAGAGCAAAAGACCGCCTTGGAGGCTGATTTGAACGCTAAAATCGCGGCCATGAAGACCGTTGGAGTAAATCAAGAGGCGATTTTGACCAAACAAAACGAGACCATCGATGTTTTGCGAAGAGATTTGATCCTCAAAGACGAGTTGATTAGCATGCTCAAAGGGCAGAATAAGGAATCGGCTGGTCCCGCTGGGAATCCGGTTCAAAATGATGTTCCACTAGGTAAACAGACCATTCAAAATGCACCTCAGAGTCCGCCAAATGTCCAAACAAGTCCGGTGGAGCCTCAGAACGGGCAGGTTCAGCCATTGGCAGGTCCAATTCAGCCAACTACCAAGAAAATTGCCCAAAATTTGAATGGTCAGGAGGAGAAGAATCCGGAGCCAGTGCTGCAATTGCCTGAGGCACAGCCCGGCGCACGTGTTAGAGTAGCCGAACAACTGAATAATGAAGCGGATGGAGCACTTTTGAGTGCTGTGGAGAACAAAGGTGAGGATTTTTGAGATTTTTTGTTGAATTTTAGGTGATCAACTGGAATAAAATGGATGAAAGTGTAAAGTTTCGGGAAGATCCTGGATTAAAATTGAAGGAGAATGAAGCTGAGACTTATATATATGTAGTCACAGTGTCGGCGAATGTTATTATAACCCCAGAAGCTAAAAAATTGAATAAAGTTGTGAAATTTTCAGGCTCTCCACTTCAAAAACCAGCTCTCTAGAGCTCCCCACGGGCAACAATTATGTGATCTTTCAAAGTCAATGTACAGTTTTCGATGTTTCCATGGACTTCGCATTAGTTTTAAATGTTATTCGAACACTATTAATTTTAATAAAGCATGTGTAATATAAGGTTGTTTTTTGACAACTGGATCATTGTTATGGTCAAATCATTACTGCAGATTTGTGTTTGATTCGTTTTACGACTTTCGGACTTGTGTTTTGACAAAAAAATGCGAGGTTTATATTACACTTGGTCTAGTGTAATATAAATTTTTGCGAAAAAGTTGGATTTTTTTATTGAATTAGATGTAATTTGATTGTTTATGCCTTGTTTTCAGCGTGTATCATAGAATGGACTCGTTCTTCAGCCTTTCCAACACTTCAACCGCTCAGGAAATTAAAGCCCTTCTTTTCGATCAGACCTCGAATAAAGGTGAGGGACATGATCTGTAATGTTTTTTATTGACATTTCTACTCATTTTTAGACATTTTGATTTTAATTTTTTCGGGTTTTTCGTAAATTTTTGGAAAAATTATATTACTTTAGGTGAAAGTTATATTATTTTAGGGTAAAATACGTCCTTTACTGCTAAGAGATTTTAAGATAAGTAGTTTCAGATGCCATAGACTCGCTGTTATCGCATTTCCCACATTCCGAATACGATTTGACCACAGTGCAGTCATTTCAAGGTCAAAATCCCGAAACTTTTGATGTCCTAGCGATTGTTTCCGACTCCGCAGACTCAAGTCAACATCTTGGACAAGCCCTTCAGCTCTTGAAACCCAATGGACAGTTGTTTTTGGCATTTTCATCATCCTCATCAACAGAAATTGAGAAAAATTTGAAATTAGCCGGTTTTGAAGGAATTGAGACTCGAAAGGAAGACTTGACCCTATTTGCGAAGGCCCAGAAAGCAAATTTCAGCACCAAATCGCAGCCGCTGAAACTGAAAAAGAAGAAAATTGACTTGGATTTGTTGGAAGGAGAAGGTGAAACCGTCCAAGAAGACGAGTTGTTGACCTCGGAGGACCTGAAGAAACCCATCCAGCCCACTTGCACTCCCACCAACGGCGAAAAGAAGAAGCGCGCCTGCAAGAATTGCACTTGCGGCCTGGCCGAACAGGAAGCCGCCGAAGTCGCCGCCTCAGGCGCTGGAATAAAAAGTAGTTGTGGAAATGTAAGCAATAGTAATTTACTGGGGTTATGGGATTATTTGATTGGTTCAAATGGAGATTTGAACCGGCTTTCGTGTTTTAAAATACGTGCCTTTGAGTTTGCACGGTGCGGCGGAAATTTTGTTCGGATTGCACTGTGCGGAGAGGAGAGATGCGTAAAGTAGATGGATATATTGGAAGAGTAGGCTAGAAAAAATAATATGGTTTTTATTTTCTGGTCGAAATTGTGATCCGCACGGTGCAATAGCGGTTTTAAGGAATCTGCACTGTGCAGTCGAATCTTTGGAAGAATTGCACTGTGCGGAGCAGAGAGATGGTTCAAATAGATGGTTAGGTTGGAAAAGTAGGCTAGAAAAAATAATATGGTTTTTACTTTTTGGTCGAAAAAAATGTTCCGCACGGTGAAGGAGCGATTTTAAGGAATCTGCACTGTGCGGCGGGATTAATCCAAAAAACTGCACTGTGCAAAAGGTAGTCGGGAGTGTAGGGATTGTAATAAATACTGTGAGAAGTAAGAAATATCGGCAGGGAAATTTTTTTTGATATGCCAGTGCAGAAACGGCGTAATGAGAATTATAAAATTTCTGCACTGTGCAGTCAGTTTTTTTTTGCCAAAGCGTGTAGAAGAAAGAAAAAATTTTGGTTGAAATACTTGTAAATCAGTTCTTAGTAGTCCTAAAGTTGTGAGTGAGGTAGTCTTCATTGTTTTTGGACATATCCGACCATCACAAATTTGTATTTTTACTTTTGCACAGTGCAAAAAAAAATTTTTACAACTTGTTGTTTTTAAGGGGAGGAATGAAAAAAATGATAAACGTTTTGAGTGATAGTACTTTTTTATGTGGAGAATATTCATTTTTGAGATTTCTTGGGCATTATTTTATGTTAACATTGGCTTTTCTTGACATTAAAAAGAATTAGTAGTTCTTAGCGAAAATTAAACTTTTCTGTAGCGGATTGCAGTCAAAATGACGTAATATGCCTTTCACATTACGACAAAACAATTTTTCTGTCTTTCAGTGCGCTCTGGGAGATGCATTCCGTTGCTCTTCATGCCCATACAAGGGCCTCCCGCCCTTCAAGCCGGGCGACAAAGTCCTCCTCAACGACATTGACGACTTGTAGATTGTTTCCCCCCAGCATTTCCATCAATAAATACCCTTGTTCCATCGATGAAATTCGATTTTTCGCGGTTTTAATCCGAAATTTGTCAATTTTTTGGTGTAAATTGAAAAATTTGTGATAAAATGGTTTTATAGAGTGAATTGTGAGCGATGGCGCAGACTGCTGACACCTGGGACTTCCGCCCGTACTTGAAGAACATGCCCAGCACCTCGGCCAAGAACTTTTCGGCCTTTGATCCCAATTGTATGAAGGTAGGAGAAGATCAAATTTTGGGGGTTTTTATAATGGAAATGATAGAATATGGCACAAAATAGAAAGTCGTGCTCCTATACGAGCTTTTTTTTCAAGTTTGAGCCGTTTAAATACGAGTTTCATGTTTTTTTGGAGATTTTTATATTATCCATGATGAGCTCCTTCCAGAAAGAACGGTTTGTCCGCATTATGGATGTGAAGGTGACTTCTAGAGAGCGTAAGATTGAGAATGACAAAGATGATGGCCTTCTGACAGCATTAACCAGAAATTGGGACAAGTCGAATATCAAGGATAAGGTAAATTTGAGTTTTTTTGTTGATTTTTCAGGAGTTTCGGGGCTGAAATGAATGTTTTTATGATTGATTGTACTGTTCATAAGATTGCCATCGCGTTTTGAGTAATTTGGAACAATTTTTGGGACCTTCCCCTGATTTTCAGGATTTTCGTGGTGGGACCAAAAATGCGGTTTTATTTCGAAATTTTCAGCCAAAAGAAGAAACCACACCTCCCGCTGAAGCCCGCCCAGGCCCCTCACATCGTCGCCAAGCCCACGAACAGCCCACTACGGCCTCACCGCCTGAGGCAAAACATCGCCGAGCCAGTTGAATTAACTCCAAAATATCGCTTTCAAAGTTACGGATTCTCGAATATGGGTCGATTCTTGTGTCTAAATTGTAATTGAATATGAATTGTAAAGTTATGAAATTTTTTGCAAGTGAAGGAAATCATTTTTGAAAAAAAAATTTAATTAAAAAATTCCAAAAAATTTTTTTTGAATTTTCGAAAAAATTTAGTTTTTGGACCGATAGAGGTAATTGAGAAAGAGGTAATTGTAAAATACGTGGCGTGTAATAACTCTTTTTTTAAGTTGCGAAAATTTACAATTTTTTATGAAGAAATTGTCTTTTTTGGGCTGAAAAAAGGTTTTAAAACGGGGTAATTGTAAAATACGTGGTGTCATTTCTTAACCATTTCTATTATTATTATTACGAAATTTAAACTAAAAATTCTAAAAAATCTCGAAATTTTTTTACTTTTTTTTGAAAAAATAGGCTTTTTAGGGCTGAAAATGGTTTTAGATTGATATAATTTAAAATACGCGGCATCTCTTTAAACAGATTTTAATTAAAATTTTAAAAATTCAAAAAAAAATTTTTGAAATTTTCCCCATAAAAGATGTCGTAATTGGATGGGAGATGACTCATCCCACTCGCTCGGCCTCTCTCTCCGATCTCACGTCGAATCGAATAACCGACTCGAAAGTATTCTCTTGAACTCCCGAAGTGATTTTTTTTACGATTTGCTGGATGGTTTTTTACTTTTTTTGGAGAGTCATGAGAAAAATATTAGAAACTAGTAATGGTAAACAAAAATGTTACTGGTTTGGAAGGTATTTTTAGATGTTTTCGGTATTACAAGGCGATTTTTTAGTTGAGAAAATGAGGTTTATGCGATTTTGAGCAGTTTTTTTGGGAAATTTTTGAAATTTTTTGGAATAATTGAATTTTAAAATTTTAAAATACGAGCTGTTGATGTTCGTGTTTACAAATATAGTATAATTTCTGAATTTTACGACATCTTTTGACAAAGAAAAATTAAAAATTCGCAAGAAATTATCTAAAAATTCAATTTTTTCCCGCCGAAATCGCTAAATTTCCCCTCTAATCTCTAGATTATTTCTCTATTTCCCATCTTGTTAAGCCTATTAGTTTCTTTTATGAACATTTTTTATTAAAATACGCAAAAATTTTTGCAAAGTTGCAAAAAATGTTTAATTTCCCTTCATTTTCTATCTAAAAATCGGTTAAGAAACCTTCAAATTTTTTGCTTATTCCTTCGTATGTCCTCTAGTTTAATTTGCAACTATTTATGGCCAAAGAAAATTTGAAAAAATTGCAAAGTATGCTAAAAATTACCTAAAACCTCAAAAAGTATCCGTTTTTGCTCAAAAAATTGCTCGTTTTTCCTACTGATTCGTTGCTTATCCTTTCATCTGTTCTCTAGTTCAATTTACAACTTTTTATGGACAAAAAAAATTTCAAAAAATTTTAAATCACACTAAAAATTACCAAAAAACCTCAAAAAGTATCCATTTTCCCTCAAAAAAATCGGCTAGTCAATCTTCACCTTTTTGCCTATTCCTTTATCTGTTCTCCAGTTCAATTTACAACTATTTCTGTTGAAAAAAATTTTCGAAATATTTTGAATTACGCTGATTTTCTCTAAAAACCTCAAAAAGTATCCATTTTCCCCCAAAAATCGCTCGTTTTTCCTTCTGATTCATTGCTTGTCCTTTCATCTGTTCTCTAGTTCAATTTACAACCTTTTCTGGTCAAAAAAAGTTTCAAAAAAATGTAAATCACACTAATTCTCCACTAAAAATCTCAAAAAGTATCCATTTTCCCCCAAAAATCGCTCGTTTTTCCTTCTGATTCATTGCTTATCCTTTCATCTGTTCTCTAGTTCAATTTACAACTATTTCTGTTGAAAAAAATTTTCGAAATATTTTGAATTACGCTGATTTTCTCTAAAAACCTCAAAAAGTATCCATTTTCCCCCAAAAATCGCTCGTTTTTCCTTCTGATTCATTGCTTATCCTTTCATCTGTTCTCTAGTTCAATTTACAACCTTTTCTGGTCAAAAAAAGTTTCAAAAAAATGTAAATCACACTAATTCTCCACTAAAAACCTCAAAAAGTATCCATTTTCCCCCAAAAATCGCTCGTTTTTCCCTCCAACTCATTGTTTATTCCTCCATCCGCCTTCTAGTTCATTTTCTTATTGTCAAACGGCATGGCGATTCCGAAACCCATCCAAATCTTAGTAAACAACCGAAAGTCGAGAGATTTTATTGAAGCGAAAGGTCGGCGGAGAAAGAAAGAGGCCCGAGTTCGATCGGGCGGGGTGCAAAAAAAACGCGCGCTCGCTTCTTTTTGGCAAGTGGATGGGAGTTGGGGGGGAAAAAACGTCTTTTCGTGGGGCTCTATTTTCTCGGATCCCCCCGAGGGCCGGAAAGCCCAAAAAAGCGGCCGGAGGGAACAAAAAAAAAATTTTTTTTGGCGGGCCCTAGTCATTTTTTCCACCCCGACCTCCCAAGAATTTATTATGTGTCCAGAAAAGGGAAGAGGCCCCAAAATCTTGGCCTTTGTTTGCGGACCCATCTTGGCCCAAAAAAACACATTTTTTTGGATTTTTCGGCCTTAGGGCATGTTCAAAAACTTCGAAAAAAGTTTGAGAACGGAAGATAAAAGAGCGGGTGATATGCAAAATGTATTTTGGTGCTGTTTGCCCGCAGGGTTTTAATGAATTTTTTCCAATTTTGAGGGGGCGAACTGCGCCCTCAGGCCAAATTTGGGCGGGTAAATAAAGGAAATGGATGTTGTTGATAGGAGGGGTATTGGAAAAACAATTTAGGGAACCGGATTTTGTTTGGAAAGGCGTGTTTTGAAGAGCGAATTCGAAATTTTTTTTGCACGGTGCAGTGAAAAATTTAAATTGAAAATTTCGATTGCATAGAGCGGAAAGATATGGCGAATTGTTTTTCGAGTTGAATTCTGAGATGATTTTAGACTAGTTAGAAGCTTAAACAGTAGAACAAAATCAAATTTTGGGGTTCAAATTTGAGCATCAATTTTTCGACTGCACTGTGCAATTAAAAAAAATTTTTTTGCAAAGTACCGTAGTTTTTGGTTTCAAAATTTCTTTGCAACTAATTTTAGTCGTGCTAGATCGCTAATAGAGCCTCTAAAATTTATTTTGCTCTCTGTTTCTGCGATTTTTTTGCAGAAAAATCAATTTTACTCAGATTTTATCAAAAAAATCCACCAAGATCATAAAATTTGGATCGGAAGAAAATTCACAGGCCTGTTGGGAGTACTCCGTTTGTTTTTACAATACCACGATAACCACTTTTGGGAGATTTTTTCAATAAAAAAATTTTTTTTTCATGTTCAAAAATTTAGATTTTTTTATAAAAGTATCCATTTTGGCCTCGAAAATTTGTTCTGACCACAACTTTTCCAAATTTTCTCTTAAATTTTTTTCATAAATTTGAAAATTAAAAATTTTTTTTTTTTTTAAATTTCCCAAAAAAAAATCGATTTTACCTCAAAAAAGTTCGGGATCCCCTCTTGCACAACCCTTTCTTGTCCCAGGCCCTTTCATGAAATCCCCCACCGCTTACGTCGGTTTATCCATTCGTTTGGAGGCGCTAAAACAAGCGCTCTTTTCTTCCGTCCCCCCACCCCATCTTTTCGCTTCTCGCGGTGCGCCTTTTTGCGATCGATGCCTTCGGAAGTCCCCTTCTTTTTCTCCTTCCAAATTTTGGAAATTATTTTTTCTCGCATTGATTAGAACGGTCAGCCGGAAGCCGCTGTAAAAATTCTCCAACGTATTTGTGTTTCCCCTAAGGGCAAACGGTAGGAATTGCGGGGAATAGGGAGTTTATTGATTGGCAAATGCACCGTGCAATTATTATTTGATTGATTTTGCACTGTGCGGCGATTTTTTTAGCTTCGGAAATTGATTGCACAGTGCAAAAGTAAAACTATTTTTTCGCACTGTGCGGAAGCGATTTTCATTTTTTTGCACAGTGCAAAACTTTTCATTTGTTTTTGCACAGTGCAGTGCGTTTTGAAACCTAAAAAAGTGGATTGCACTGTGCGATGAATCGAAATTATTTTTGTGCACAGTGCGGAAGCGATTTTCATTTTTTTGCACAGTGCGGTGTATTTCCAAACCTAAAAAAAGTGGATTGCACTGTGCGATAAATTGAAATTATTTTTTTGCACAGTGCAAAAGCTTTGACTTTTTTTTGCACAGTGCAGTGCGTTTTGAAACCTAAAAAAATGGATCGCACTGTGCGATAAATTGAAATTATTTTTGTGCACAGTGCGGAAGCGACTTTCATTTTTTTGCACAGTGCAAAACTTTTGATTTGTTTTTGCACAGTGCAGTGCGTTTTGAAACCTAAATAAATGGATCGCACTGTGCGAAAAGAAATTTTGGCGGGAAATTGTTTTTGCACAGTGCGGCTGATTTTGAAATCGCGAGGATCGATTACACAGTGCAGTGGAAGTTTATGGCGATGAAGTTGTTTATTGCACTGTGCGATTAATTGAAATTATTTCTTCGCACAGTGCGGACGGATTTTATTATTTTTGCACGGTGCATAAAACCAATTTTTTGCACAGTGCGATGGATTTTGAAATCGCGGGAATCGACTGCACAGTGCAGTGCAAACTTGTGGCGGGAAAATTTTTGATTGCACTGTGCAAAAACTGAATTTGCTTTTTTCTTTGCACTGTGCGAAAAAACGAGATAAAAATTTTGCACTGTGCAATTAATTTTTTTTCTCGTCTTGCCAGTTTCCATTGCACAGTGCAAACAAACAAATTTTTTTCAATTGCACTGTGCGTTTTTCCAATTCTCAATTGTTTTCAAGAAGATTCGGGGGGCTATTGATTTTTCGAGCAAAACAGAGAAACATTTGAACGGTCATGAGAGAACGGCCACTTTTCTCGCCTTCTCACGTGATCTTTGTTTCGAATTCGAGCTGAAAAAGAGATAAAAATAGAAAATTTGTTTCATTTTTTTGGGTAAAATACGTAAAAAAATCTCAAACTAGGTAATTTATATCCTGAGGAAATTTCGAAAATTTTGAAATTTCCCCGATTTTTCGAAAAAAAAAGTTTTTTCTACACAGTAATTCCGCATTTTTTATTCTTTGTCCGGCTAGTTGATTAATTCGCACCGTGCAATCGATTTTTGTAAACAAGCCGCACGGTGCGGCCCTGTTCGCCCTCACATGATCGCACCGTGCAGTGGGCGTTGTTGTTTATATAATAAAAGACCAAGGTTATCGAACAGCTCAATCCATTTACTTTCTATTTTTACTGCACTGTGCGGATAATTTTTTGGAAACTTTTTGCAAAAAAAAATTCTTGCCGTTTGCACGGTGCATTTTTTTGGGTTTTTGCACTGTGCAGTTATTTTTCGTTCTTCGAAAATTTCTTTGCACTGTGCAAAAATCTTCGCGACAATTTTGCTTTTTGCACAGTGCAATCAAATTCCTCAATTTGATGCACAGTGCAGAAAGTTTGCCTGTAGCTTTTGCACGGTGCGAAAAAGACCTTTTTTTTTGCACTGTGCGGTGATTTTCCATTCTTCGAAAATTTCTTTGCTGCACTGTGCAAAAACTATTTTCCATTTCTTTTGCACTGTGCGGCGATTTTTCATTGCTCGAAAATTTCTTTGCACCGTGCAATTTTATTGGCGACAACTTTTCTTTTTGCACAGTGCAATCAAATTCTCAAATTCACTGCACCGTGCAATCGAATTTTGATTTTTTCGCACTGTGCAAAGTTTTCCGGTCGGCGGCAAATTTTTGTTCGCACGGTGCGGAAAATCCAGAATTTATGTTATAGTTGCACAGTGCGGCGCCAAAAAAAGTTTTGCACAGTGCAATTAAAAGCGGATTTTTTTTTGCGGATTTTCGGAAAGATCAGAGAAAAAAATCTTTTTTTGTTGCATCCCAGCGTATGTTACGTAATATAGCATCTTTCAATAGCGACATTTGGGATAAAAAACGATTTTTTGGAGGGAAAATCGCAAGATTTTTTATAATTTTTTCAAAAATTATCAAAATTTCGCCTATTTCCCTTTCAAAAACATAACGTTCGAAGCGGTTCCTCTGATTTCACCGTTGTTTACGCGTTACAAAAGTCTGTTCCCGACTGATAAGACTATTTTTGTCGTGATTTCCCTCTTAATTACACCCATTCGTAATTAGGGGAAAAAGTGGGCGGTAAATTTGGTACGGATTTGCTCTCTGGATGAATTTAGCTAATTAATTATAGCGAAATTAATTGATTATTATTGGTTTTACAAAAAGAAAATGAGTTTTTTATGGAATTTGGAAATTGCACTGTGCAAAAAAATTGAAAAAAAAGTTATTTTGCACAGTGCGAAATTCTCTTTCTTTTATTGCACAGTGCAAAAATTTTTTGTTGCACAGTGCATTTTTTCACCGTGCAAAATTTTTTGTTGTTGCACAGTGCAAAATTCTAAATTTTTTCCGCACGGTGCAGTTTTACTGGCGATTTGCACAGTGCAATAAAACACCGCCCTCAACTTTCGATTTTCGCACTGTGCGAATTTTTGTTTTTTTTTATCGCACAGTGCAGTAGTCGCGACGTGTTTGCTGCACTGTGCAGTTTCAATAATTCGTGCACCGTGCAAAATAAATAATAATTTGCACTGTGCGAACAACAAAAAAGAAAGAAATCGGCTGCACAGTGCAGTTGTCGCGACGTGTTTGCTGCACTGTGCAGTTTCAATAATTCTTGCACCGTGCAAAATAAAGAATAGCTTGCACTGTGCGAAAAACAAACAATAAAATTAATTGCACAGTGCAGATTGCAATCTTTTGGCATGGTAAAAACTTGATTTTTTGATGTAAAATTTTTTCGAGATTTTTTGATTTTCAAAAATAAAAAAATGTAATTTCAAAATTTTCAGTGGTCAACATGGCCATGGTGGCCACTCGAACGCCGGACCTTTCCCTAAATCCGGCGACGCTGCGGCGCTCGGTGCGACGGCGTCGCCTCACAGTCAAGGCCAAGCTGAGTTTGGTGGCCAAGAAGTCGAAACGCATTCGCAAGATCAAACCGACCGTTCCAGATGTGATCACCCAACTGGAGGCGCCCCGAGCGGACGGAGCGGAGGTGCGGATCCCCAGCCTCGACTTCGAAACGTAGGTGTTGCAAATGGGCCCTTAGGGCAAATGGGAGGGAAATGGGATTTTTGGAGCTCAAAATGGGTTGAGATTCATGTGGTGGATGGGTATTTTTTGGAATTTGGTCATGGGAAAATGCATGGGAAATTTGGAAATCTCAAATAATCCGTCATCATGACACATTTTTGACTATTTTTTAGACAATTTTTGTTACGAATTTTAATTTTTCGTGAAAAATAAGTGATTTCCAGAATTTTTGAACCAATTTCCATCTTGAATTGTCTGATTTTCCGTCATCATGACGGATTTTTCGGACCTTTTTTCAATTTTCTTTTTCACCGCACTGTGCAAGAAATTTTTGAAATTCTGCACGGTGCAGCTTCCTTTCAATTTCACAGTGCGGAAAAATTCAGCGACGAGTTTTGTTCGCACTGTGCAAAGTGACTTTTGTTGATTGCACAGGGCAAGTTCCAGCCAACTAACTGCACGGTGCGGAAAAATCCGGCGACAATTTGTCGCGGCGACAAGATTCTTGCACAGTGCAAAGCGACTTTTTGTTGATTGCACAGTGCAAAAAAAAAAACAAAAAATTATTTTCGCACAGTGCAGTGGAGTTTTCTTCTGACTGCACAGTGCGGAAAAATACGGCGACAATTTGTCGCGGCGACAACGTTTTTGCACAGTGCAAAGTCACTTTTGTTGATTGCACCGTGCGATGGAAAAATTCAGCGACGATTTGTCGCTGCGACAAGATTTTTGCACTGTGCAAGCTGAGACCTTTATTGATTGCACCGTGCGATGAGCAGAACTTCTCTTTTGCACCGTGCGAAATGAAATTTGTCGCGGCGACAACATTCTTGCACTGTGCAATGCGACTCTTTGTTGATGCACAGTGCGAAAAATAAAAAAAATTTGCACAGTGCAAAAAAATTTTTTTTGCAAAAATGAAAAAAAAATCCGTATTTTAGGTTGCACATTCTCCGGAATCTCCCCATGTACTCGGAAAACCTCCGAATACAACACCCCGCATTGCCATTGAAGCCGATGGGTTCGCCGGAATTCTCGCTGGTCCTGGATCTGGACGAAACGCTCGTCCATTGCAGTCTGGTCGATCTGCCCGACGCTCAAATGAGGTTTGAGGTAAAGAAGACAATTTTTTTCTTTCAAAATCTTACCGTATTTCGTCATCATTTGCAATCTAACCCAATTTAAAAAAAAATCTCGCTTTTTTTGTAAAAATGACGTCATTTTGGTGTTAAAATTTAAAATACGCATTGAAAATCTGTCTTGCAATGTTTAGCATGGCCCTGTCGGCTCAAATCTTACTGCATTTTCTAGATTTATTCCTTTGAATTTCAAATCTCTCTCAATTTCATCGAAAAATTGCGATTTTCTAGCGAAAATCGTAAAATTTCATTCGAAAAATTGTAAAATACGTACCAGGAATACTCGACTGTATTCTGTGTTACTTTTACTATAAAAATCTTACTGTATTTTCAATATTTATCCTCTTGAATTTCAAATTTCTCTCAATTTCATCGAAAAATTTCAATTTTTTGCGAAAATGCTAAAATTTCGTTCGGAAAATTGTAAAATACGAACGAAGAAGTTGCTCTTCCGTATCCTCTGTTACTTTTACTATAAAATTCTAACGGTATTTTATACATTTATTCCTTTAAATTTCGAAATTCTTTCAATTTCATCGAAGAATCCCAATTTTTTTGCAAAAATGCTAAAATCTCATTCGAAAATTTGTAAAATACGAACCAGGACAAAATTCGTCCGTATCCTCTGTTACTTTTACTTTAAAAATCTTACTGTATTTTCTACATTTATTCCTTTGAATTTCAAATTTCTCTCAATTTCATTTTCATCGAAAAATCCCAATTTTCTTAAGAAAATCGTAAAATTTCATTTGCAAAATTGTAAAATACGAATCAGGGAAAATCGACTGTATTCTCTGTTACTTTTACTATAAAAATCGTACTGTATTTTCTACAAAAATTGTAAAATACGTACCAGGAAAGGAATCGTTCTCGCTTTTACCATCTAATACTGTATTTTTTTACAAATTCCATGGAATTTGCAATTTTTGATCAATTTCGTCCAAAAATAAGGATATTTAACAAGGAAAGTACTTCTATGGGGTGTGGAATTACCGGTCGAGATATATATCAAAAAATTCGCAAAAATTTTCTGATTCAGAATATATATAAATTAGCTGCCTAATTTTGGTCTGATGACATGTTTTTGTCCTCAGAAGTTTTCTCGCGACACCATGCAAGTGTCTTTTTGACCGTGTTTTTAACAATAAAAAAAATTTGTTTTATGCTAAACTAAATTCTGAGGCCATGACAAGCCTTAAAATATCAAATTGGATTACAACTACACCTTAAGAGTAGTTCCAATGTAAAAAATGGGTTCTAGTGTGGCAAAAAGAACCGAACCCGTTTCCCTCGGATTTCCAACCCAGCGCTCTAACCACTCGGCCACACCGCTCTCTTCCGAAGGAAGAGACCGAGCGCGCTTTTGTTGCCGCAGATTTTTTTCCTCGAGAAAAACATTTATTGAAAAAACTCGCTGCACATCAAAACGTTTTACATTCTACGAAAATTTAGAAATCCGAATGGATAAGATTGTTTGTTATGGTCATAAAACAAACTTTTGTTCAGGAAGTTTTCTTGAAAGTTCATCTCCGCTGTGGAGTAGCGCAAAACATGAACTTAGCGAAAAATCGGGGGTTTTTCGTACTTTAAAGGGCAAAAGGCCAGTTAAACCACCCAGTTTTTTTAAAAATCATGTTCCAAACTATGAAAGGCACTTATATGGTCATTTGCGAATAATTTTCCGTCCCGCCCTGTAGACCAACAAGGTCAAAGTTCATGAAATTCAATAAACTTATTTTAATTGAAATAACCAATGTAAATCAACAAGTTTTAACGCATTTTCTCAATTATAGTAAATTTTACCTTATTTTAATTTACTTTCATCGTTATACAAGACATTACCATTGAGCGTTTGGGCGGCGAACTCTAGGAACTCTGGACTCTTTCTCTTGACATTCTGTCCGGTCATGTTATCTGGTCCGGTTTTTAATGCTGATCACGATGGGGTTGGTTTCGAATCCCGAAATTTGAACTTTGACGCCCTTAGGGCGTTTTTTCAAATTTTTGAAAATCCGGGGGAAATTTTCCGGATTCGATTTTCGCCCTGAAGCCGTAAGCATAGACGGCTGAAATTTGGCCTGATTATGGCCAGGCAAAATACCCCGAGCCGTATTTTTCAGATTTTTGAATTTCGCTCTAGTTTCCGAGAAATTCGACATACCGTGCAAAAATTTTGAAACCCCGAAAACTTTAAATCGCGTAGTGCGTTCGTATATTTGTCGTATTTTAGAAATAGAATACCCACTGTAGGGTAGTTTTGCATGCTGAATGCTATGGCACACGCAAAAATTCGAAAATTTTGAAGTCTGTGCCCTGAGGGCCGATTTTTCGAAAAAAAAGTGCCAAATGGACCAAAATGCAACTTTTTGAGAATCCCACCGTAGCTCAGAAGCCGAAAAAAATTCAGAAGATACTACATCAAATTTCGGAGCGAACTGCATGCCGAATTTTTGAATTTTGACCTAGGTTAAATTTTTTGATATTAAACATGGCACCAAAAATTTCAAAAAATCTCGAAATGATAAAATACAAAATGCGATAGAGAGAAGCGAAACGTGGTTCTAGAGCAAGTCAGGGACGCTGATTCAGAATTCGTTCTCAGAGTCCAGAAATTCCGTCATCTTGATGGCGAAAATTGAAAAATTCTGAAAAGTGCGCTGAGCTGAAAAATCGAAAACCTCTGTACTGTAGCGGGTTAAGGTCTCTGTTCTTCCGCAAGACTTCCCGACTATTCTGGATCTATTTTTTGGACCTTTGCATGCTTCAAAACAGTTTTAATGCAACAAAAAAGTCTAAAAATAGGTGAAAAACCCGCAAAATTAAAAAATCGATAAAACTTTTTGCTGTCGAAAAATTTGGAGGCCGTAGAAAAATATAATACTCTACTTACCACGCTCTACAATCTTATCCATTCGCTTTTTACTAATTTCGTAGCATTTTTTTGTAAAACCTTGTAGAAGTTTACAAACCTGTTCCACTCCAACCCTAAAAAATCCCGAAACACAAAAATTCTACGTACCCAGAAGGAATCAAAAAATAGAATACTGTTCTGACTTTCTTATTCACGCAAATACGACCCAAAACAATTACGTTTTCACGGAGTAATTAATTGAAGAAGAAACTAAATTTATTTTCGCTTTTTTGGCAACTTTGGCATTGTGTTGCAGTTTTGATGTGCGCTGATAGACCAAAATTAGGCAGCTAATTTATATATATTCTGAATCAGAAAATTTTTGCGAATTTTTTGATATATATCTCGACCGGTAATTCCACACCCCATAGAAGTACTTTCCTTGTAAGGAAAACTACAACTTTTTTTAAAATTGTAAAATACGTATTAGGAAATTGTTACCGATTTCATCCAAAAATATTGATATTAAAAAAATTAAAACTTTTTTTTTTAATTTTAAAATACGAACCAGGAAATTGTGACCGATTTCATACAAAAATAATGATATTAAAAAAATTAATTTTTTTTAAAATTTTAAAATACGAACCAGGATGAAGGATCAATTTCATATCATTATTTTTGGATATTTCGTCCAAAAATAATGATGTTTTGGGCAAAAATAATTTTTTTTAAATTGTAAAATACCAACCAGGGATTGTGATCAATTTAATCCAAAAATAATGATATTTAAGGAAAAAATAATTTGTTTAAATTGTAAAATACGTACCAGGAATTAAGGATCGAATTCATATAAAATAATGATGTTAAAAAAATTAAAACTTTTTTTTAATTGTAAAATACGAACCAGGAAGTAATGATCAATTTAATACAAAAATAATCATATTTTGAACCAAAATTAATTTGTTTTAGAATTGTAAAATACGAACCAGGATGTAAGATCAATTTCATCTAAAAATAATGATATTTAAAAAAAATTAAACTTTTTTTAAACAAAAAATAAAACTTTTTTTTTAAAATTGTAAAATACGAACCAGGAAAATTTCGAGTGTATTTTCTGTTACTTTTACCATACATTTCACGCTGCATTTTCCACAATCTTTCATGAAATTCGCCATTTTTGCCAATTTTTTTCCAAAAATTATGATTTTTTTGGGCAGAAATGGTAATTTTTCTTTCTAAAATTGTAAAATACGTTCCGAAAAAGGTATCCCTTAAAAATTCTCCATGTTTTTCTCCATATAATTCATCCTGTACTTTCCACACTTTTCGTTTAATTTTTGTTTTTTCGCAATTTTATCCAAAATTTTTATCCAAAAAGAAAAAAAAGATGATATTTGGGGGAAAAAATCAAAAATTTCTTCTGGAATTGTAAAATACGTTGCACTCCGGGTCTGGTAAAAACCAAAAAATTAAATGGATAAATGTGGGAATACCGTATGAATTAGGTGAAGAAAGGCATGAAGAATTATTACAGAATACCTTTCAATGTCGTATTTTACGTTTTCAGAAGGAAGTTTTGATTTTTTTGCCGCAATTTTTTTCCAAAAAAGATGATATTTGGGCGAAAAAATCAAAATTTTCTTCTGAAAATGTAAAATACGATATTGAAAGGTATCTTGTAATAATTCTCCATGTCTTTCTCTGCCAAATTCACACTGTGTTTTCCACATTTATCCGTTTAATTTTTGATTTTTCACAATTTTTTCCAAAAAAAGATGATATTTGGGCGAAAAATTAAAAATTTTCTTCTGAAAATGTAAAATACGGCATTTTGAATTGTGTCTAGATATTTCCCCATGCTTTTCTCTACGAAATTCATACGGCATTTCCACATTTTTTCATTTAATTTTTTGTTTTTTTCGCAGTTTTTTCCAAAAAACGTGATATTTGGGCGAAAAATTCAAAATTCCTTCTGAAATTGTAAAATACGGCCGCCAGACTCATGTCTAAATAATTCTCCATGCTTTTCTCCACCTAATTCATCCTGTACTTTCCTAATTTCCCCCCATTCTCAGGTCGAATTCGAAGAAAACAACTGCCGAGGGACGCTGGAAGTGTCGGTTCGAATTCGGCCGTTCCTCTTCGAATTCCTGGCGCGGATGTCGCAATACTTCGAAATTATCCTCTTCACGGCCAGCAAGAAAGTGTACGCGAACAAGCTGGCGGACCTGTTGGACCCTGAGGGCAAATTCTTCCATCATCGCCTGTTCCGCGAGCACTGCGTGTACGCGTTCGGCACCTACGTGAAAGACCTGAATGTGCTCGGAAGGGACGTGAACAAGACCATCATCATCGACAACAGCCCGCAATCCTTCGCCTACCATGTGGACAACGGGATCCCCATCGAAAGTTGGTTCGTGGAAAAAGAGGACCAAGAGCTCGCCAAATTGGTCCCGTTCTTGGAGAAAATACATCTGGAAAAGGTGGGAAATAACCTCATATTACAGTAAAGACCATACGAAATTATTTAAAATCCATTTAAACATCGAATTTAAGCCAGATTTGGTAGAAAATCAAGATTTTTCATGAAAAATCATCGAAATTTGCGTATTTCAGGCTAAAAATTGTAAAAACGATAAAAATTGTGAATGTTTTTGGGTTTTTATTGTAAAATACGCCGTCAAAAACTCTTCGGCTTCTAAAATGCACAATTTTTAATTGAGATTCGGCTTAAAAATAAGTTTTTTTTTTGAAAAATCATCAAAAATTGATATTTTTGGCGAAAATGCTGACAAAATTTTGATTTGTATAATTTCTTGAACTTATACTGGAAAATATTTTATCTAAAACAATAAAACTTTGATTTGCAAAGCGATAGTATACCAAAAAGCATGAAAAATCAAGTTTTTAGGCAAAAAATTGTTAAAAATAATGATATTTTTGAAATTTTTTAAAATTTTTGTAAAATACGAAATTCTTAAAGGTGTTGCTGATTAAAAAAAGAAAAAAAATGTTCTTGGAGATATTGTAAAACCAAAATCTCGAAAAAATTTGACGAAAATCCACCAAATTTTGCGTATTTTAGCCTGCCGACGTGCGCCCTCTGATCCGCGAAAGGTACGGGCTCAGCGAGCTGATCGACGCCCTCCCCCCACCCGCACAGCCCGATTACACAGTCCATCACATAACCTCAGCCTAGTGTCACCTACTTCTTCCTTATATACCTTGTTTATTTTTTGCATTTACTTTTCCCTTTTTTTTGGTTGTTATCCGGTCTCCAGTCAAGAAATTGCGATAATTGTTGGCCTTTGTACAGAGAATTTTTCAATAAATAGATGCTATTTTAAGTTTCAAGAGGATTTGAGACCATTTTTGCAGAAAAATTAAAAAAAAAAATTAATTGGTCTTTTGCACTGTGCAAATTTCAAAAAAAGTTCGTTTTGCACAGTGCAGAGATAAAAAATTTTTTAATTTTTGTGTTGAACAGAAAATTTGAGACCATATAAACTGGTCATCACCGTATTTCACTCCAACTTTTGTTGCACAGTGCAAAAAATTCAATTCGAAAAATTTTGCACAGTGCAGTAGGAAAAAATTTCGTATCCTGTTTTGCACCGTGCGAATTGAAATTTTTGAACATTTTGATGTTGTTACAGTAAGAACATGTTCAAATGAAATTTATGACGTCATTTTCTATAACTTTCTTACAGCACAGTGCAACAAAATCGAGTTCAAAACTTTCCGCACAGTGCGATTTCAGGAATGATTGATTGCACAGTGCACAGAACGACTTCACAAAAAACTTTTTGTGAATACTGTAACAGTTGATCAGAATTTACAATTTGATTACATTGAAGCAACTTTTTTGCTGCACAGTGCAAGAAATTCGCAACAAAACTTTTTGCACTGTGCAAATTTTAAAATGTCAAATTGGACGCTGGAAATAGAGCTTCTTTGGCTGAGATGTTCAACGTAGTAACAGAATGTCCTATTTTTACCCATGAATTCATAAATTCTAAGCTGCGTAGCTGCACGGTGGAAAATTTTTCTTTCAAATTTATGCACAGTGCAAATTTTAAAAATGTCAAACTTCATAGTTGAAATTGATATTTTTTGGCCAAGATAGTGAATACTGAAAGCTCATGTCCCATTTTTACTCATGACTTCATAAATTCTCATCTCTGCCTTTGCACGGTGCAAAAATCTTCTTTCAAATCTATGCACTGTGCAAATTTTAAAAATCTCAAATTGCACAGTGGAAATAGAAATTTCTTGGTCAAGATGTCCAACACGATCACTGAATATCCTATTTTTACTCATGACGTCATGAATTCTCATTTCAGCCTCTGCACGGTGCAAAAATCTTCTTTCAAATTCATGCACTGTGCAAATTTTAAAAATGTCAAATTTCATAGTCGAAATTGATATTTCTTGGCCAAGATAGTGAATACTGAATGCTCATGTGGTATTTTTACTCATGACGTCATGAATTCTCATTTCAGCCTCTGCACGGTGCAAAAATCTTCTTTCAAATTCATGCACTGTGCGGACCCAACAACCCTAGTTTTTGCCGTATTGTGCATGCTGAAACCAGAGCAAACGTGACCCATAAAGTATTAACTCTCCTGTGGAGTGCTTCCAAGTGCAAAATAAAAGATTCCAACCAGTACAGTAAAAAATTTCAGGTGGCTTTGAGCTAAAAATGGGAGAATACGAATTTTGCATTGTGAGTAAAGATTAATCGTAAAGTAAAAAATGCATGGTAAACTTTGGCAATCGCTTTTTGTTCCTTCGTCACAACAAAAGATGTAAAGTCTTGGTGAAAAAGTTCGAAGATCATTGAAAAATCATCAAAACCCCCTAAAAAATTGCTGAAAATCGCTGAAACCCGTTGAAAATCCCTGTGGCAATAATCCTAAATGCTTTTAAATTCATAAAGAGCTAACAAAAAATATGAAACATTACTTTTTTATTCGAAAAAATTAAGAATTTTGCCGAAAAAATTAAGAATTGTCAAAAACCCCAAAAATGTTGGAAAATTACTAAAAAGCCCTAAGGCAATATCTGAAAATGCCCTGAAATTCAAGAAGGGGCCTTGAAATTTCTAAAAAACTTCTTTTTCCTTTGAAAAACCCACAATTTTGTCAAAAAAAAAATCAAAAAATTTTTCCAGAAATGGAAGAAAATAGCTAAAAAACCCTGAGGCAATATTTGGAAATGTTCTGAAATTCAAGAAGAGACCATAAAAGAAGTCCTAAAAAACTTCTTTTTCCATCGAAAATCGACCGATTTTGTCAAAAAAATCGAAAAATTCGCAATTTTCCGCCAAATTTCCCCGTTTTCCCACAAATTTGCATACTTTCGGCGTACTCTTCCTTTGCGGGCTATAAAAGCGCGCACGGAAGCAAAGATGCGTATCAGTCGCGTCGGAAACATGGGAGACAAGAGCGCCTACATGGGAGCCTACAGTGGAGGCGGATCGAGCGGCGGCGGCGGCGGTGGCTACGTGCGCGAGGAGTACGCGTTTGGAGGCAGCAGCGGCGGCGGCTCGTCGTCGGGTGGTGGCGGCGGCGGCGGAGGCAGCTCGGCACCACAACAGCGCTCCGATGTGTCCTGCTATCTGGGCCCCAAGTGACGAGAAGAAGACAAAGCTCCATTTAACACCTTGTTCTTCTCCGTTCTCTCTCTCTCCATTTCTTTTTCCGCTTCGATGGAATAAATTCTATTGATGAACATTCGGTTTTGGGATTTTTTTGATTTTTTTTGAATTTCTTTTTTTTTTAATTCTTTTTGAACATAAAATTCTGTATTTTTTGAATGTTTCCCGTTAGTTTTTTTGTGTTCACTATGTTCTCGTCGTATCTTAGGTTGAGATTTGTCGAATTTTACTTTGATTTTTTCGATTTTTTAATTTATTTTTTGAATTTTTCGATTAATTTTTGGTCTTCGGTTGTTCTCGTCGTATCTTGGGTTGAGATTTGTCGAATTTTATTTTGATTTTTTTTTAATTTTTTATTTTATTTTTAGAATTTTTCGATTGTGTGTTCTCGGTCATAGTTTTAAGCTTGCAATTTTTGTTGATTTTTTGGGGTTGCCCTATGTTCTCGGTGAATTCAACCGACTTTTTGTTGATGCCATCGAGTCGAAAATTTCTTAAGGGCGGAATTTTCATTCCCTAACTAATTTTCGACACTCTCAAACCTGTAGGAATCGTTAAATACAGTGACGACCCAGTGGCAAAGACGTACCATTTTGTATCCGGGAAGTATCAAAAAAAATCTGGCAAAATGCCTCATTCCTCAATGAAAAAACCCGTTTTGTAGTACACTTTGCCTTACAAAAAGAGACTTTGCTCCATCTTTTGACACTTCCCGGAAACAAAAAGCCGCAAAAATTTTCGGATTTTTGCCATAGTTTGTCATCTGTGCGGGGCCGCAATACACCGTGAATTTTAGTTGTCTCCGCGCGACAAGTTGGTCGCATGACGGCGCACTGTGTGGACTTTTTGGCTTGCCTAGTGCGACCTTTTGAAACGTACGTCCTACATTCTTGAACAGGTGGTATTTTAAATAGGTCAGCTCTGACGAAAATGCCAAGGAAGCAGTCTGTATCTCTGTTAATTCAGGGCCTTTATTGTCATTTTCAGAATGTGGGGTGGGGCGTACTCGCTTAAAATTTTTGGGTTTTTGTTGCAAGTAGATAATGCCACAAACTGTCTAGGGTACAGTATCTGTAGGGAAATGACCTTTGTCTCAAATTTTGTTGCAATTTACGTTAAAAAAGTTGTTTTTACTTTTCAGATGGCCACGAACTGTGTAGACCCCGTGAATCAAGCCTTGATACAATCGGTGTCTTTTTCGGCCATGCTGGCCAATCTAGTTTTACTTTGGTTGATACGAAATCACACGCCGAACCCGATGAGTAGCTACAAAAAAGTTTTGTACACCTCATCCGTCATCGATCTGCTCTCTTCGCTCTCGCATTTCAGTATAATTCTGGTGAGTTTCGGGGGTTTGGACGGACTTGGCGTGCGAGGGATGCGGCAGCTGGGCCAATGTGTGCGTATGGGTCTGTCGGGATAATAATGTGGATTTGTCGGAGAAAGTCGCGCTATTTCCAGCTTCAACTAGTTCTTTCGGCGGCGTCGCGAAGTGCGCTCGTTGAAACGTGCATGTTGCCCTACTCCTTTATTTTACAAGGAAAGTACATACTTCTATGGGGTATGGAGTTACAGGTCGAGATATATATCAAAAAATTCGCAAAACTTTTCTGATTCAGAATATAGTATACAGGGTGTTCAGAGAATTATGGAAAAAACTATTCATTAATAACTTTGCGCTCGGTGGTCCAATCCGAAAAAAATTTTTTGCATTTTACAGAAAAACCTTGGAGTTTTTAGAATCTAAAAAAAAAATTTTCTTTTGTCGGCGGAGACTTCCGTAATCCGCGTTGAATTCGGCGGAGTGTTTTTTCACAAAATAAGGCTGTAAATCGTTGTATGTGTAAAGAAAATGGGTGGAAAAGGATCCAGAAGATACAATATGACATTTCTTTCAAATTTCTATGCTTCGGCGGAGACATTTTTTAACCTCGGCGGACGATTGTTCTTCGACTCCGGATAGTCAAAATTGGCTAAAACCAAAGAGTGTGGTATTTGAAAGGAATGTCATATTGTATCTTCTGGATCCTTTTCCCTTCCGGGATGCAAAATGGGACGTTTTTTGCCATTGGATCAGGTCCCTCACTGTAAAAAATTTGCTGCCTAATTTTGGTGACATGTTTTTGTCCTCCGAAGTTTTCTCGCGACACCATGCAAGTGTCTTTTTGACCGTGTTTTTATCAATAAAAAAAACTTTGTTTTGTGCTAACTAAATCCATTAGAAAGCTTTCTCATGCCTTCTTATTTTCAGCGCACCGAAATGGAAAATGGAATCACCGTCAACAGCTTCGACGGGTTTCTGCCCCGACTCCTCCACAAAATGGGCCTTGTGGACGATGCAAACTTGGCATATCTTGTGTTGGTCGAACTCGCCTTTGAATACATCATGTTAGGCTTTTGTTTTGTGCCCTTCACTTACCGCTACTTTCATATGGTGTGGAAATTCCGGTTTACAAATGCAACATTTGCCTTACTGGTGTTGTTTTATGTAATCCCAATCGACCTTTTCGCATTTATCGTTGCGTACTTGGCCGGGAATACGTACCCCCACATGACGCAATTGGTATCTCCGGCTGATCCGAATTGCGTGAAGCGTATGCCGTACTATGATTACAAGAGTTATCCGGTGGAGGTAAGATACAATAAAAAACGAGAGAAAGGGCACGTCAAGAAAAATAAAGCAAAAGCGCTCAAGCAATGAAAAATTCTTGGCATTCTGTTTCAGCGGAAGAATAATTTTTTGCTCCAAAGATAACATGATTACACCATGAAGATGGGGTAGAATAGGGTTATTGCATACATAAACTTGAAGCTGGACTCCCGCTTAACCTGAACACACATATTTCATATAAAAAAGTCGGTCGTCTTCTATCTGTTTGAAGCCTTAACTAACAACGCCTAAAAAATGTTGCGATTTCGAGATTTCGAGGATTTCTCAAAGATTTTCCCTCGCCCCTATTTGAAGTTTCGTGGAAACATAGTCTGGAACAAGGCGGATTTTTTGAGCCCAAAATGAAAAAAAATCAAATGAGCCAGCTTCGAGATAGAAAGTCACTTCATTTTGCGCAATTTCCTCTGACCTCGTCCAAAAAAACCGTCATTAAGACGGATTTTTTGGACACCTGCATAAGCGGAAACAGAATGCCAACTTTCGTGTTGGAAAAAACCCTTTGAGCGCAAAATCTTGACGTGAAGGGCTTGAAGTTATTTTCGTTTTTTACTTTTATTTTTAGCCCTACTTGACCATTTGGTCCTTCGTCAGAATCCCCATACTCTGGCTAAACGTGGCTCCATTACTACAAATCTTTTTTATCTGGCGGATCTACAAATACTTGAACAAAGATATGCGAAAATCCGATTCCTACCTCATGATGCAACGGCAAATCACTTGGACGTTGACGGGCCAATCCGTAACGCCCTTAATCCTCATCACCGTTCCACAATTCTTGCTGGGCTTTATCTACGATTCCGGCGTCAACACGGACTTGTTTTTTCGCACTGCGGGTGGGGTCAAGCGTTTCTCATGGGGTGGTCAAGTCTTCCCTCTTAATATTGTTTTTCACTGAATTTCAGTCAGTTGTATCGAACCTTAAATTACGATTTTTGAGTCAACGAAGTAGTCTTTAGTTAAGCATGACATTTCAGGAGATTTTTGTGTTAATGCGACTGTATTTGTTCTGAAAACTCTGAAAACCCATTGGCAAAACAGTTTCACTTACTTCAGCCATTAACACAAAAAAAAACATACAAGTCGATTAACCTCCGATGTAACTGTTTGGATTGAGTACGGAAAGGTCCAGGGGTGGCCACCGGGCCGGGCCTGACAAATTTTGAACCGGGCCGGGCCTGCTTTTTACCGTGGCTCAGGCCCGCGGCCCGGGTTTTGTCGAAATGCCAAGCGTTTCGCATTCAATGTTTTCGCGTCGGAAAAATTTTTGGATAGGTTTGTATTTTTAGTATATCAAGTTCTACAATAGTTTATTACTTTATAGTACTTTTTTGCATATATGTTATAATATAAGGTCCAAATTAGAACATATAATACATATAGGATAGTTCTTAGCAGATTTTAGCACTACAGGGAATAAGATCAAAGGAAAATTTCCAGCTCGCGCCCTAACCGGGCTTTTACCGGGCCGGTCCGGGCCTGATTACTACCGGGCCGGGCCAGGCCTGAAAAATTTTGAACCGGGCCGGGCCTGGGATTTTGCCGGGCCGGCCCGGAGCCTGAAATTTGGAAAAAGAGGCCCGTTTGCCACCCCTGGAAAGGTCCGCTAAAAAAAGGAAAGGGAGGGCGGGGAGGGAGGGGGGAGGTTTTCGATGGCGCTGATTTCGAATATCGCATCCATTTTTTCTGAATTTTACAATTTTGCTTAAGCAGTAGTGTCTTATGTGTGGTTGTAAACCTCAATACCATTAATTAAGGGGAGGGGGGAAGACTTGACCAACCCATGAGGAAAACTTGACCCGATTTGCAGTGCTTCGCGTTCTTAACACTTCCTTGGCCATGGTTCCGCTGACCAATTCGCTGTCGACAATTTTGATGATCAAGAGTTACCGGACTACTGTAATGCACGCGATATTAAGACGTGTTGGTGTGAAGCAAAGAGACTCCATGTGGTTGAGAACGGGCTCGGATCTGCAGTCAGTTAGTGGGAGCGTGCGATAATTATGGCAGTCGACCCGGCAATGTGGGCGAAGCAGCATCGAATGTAAGGCTTTAGAAATTGTTGCGGAGAAGCCTGAAAAAACGAAAGTTGGCATTCCGTGTCCAAAAAATTCGTTTCAATGACGGGTTTTTGGATGGTTTGACAATTTTGACACTTCGTTTGGACGAAACTCCAAAGTGGACGGGATAATTTTTTTCTTCTATTTCGGGTTCCCGGACCATTTGGTTCACTTCCGTCCTTCTGTGGAAAAAGACAACTTTTGGGCAACTTTTTTTGATCAAACTTCTCGGTCGGCTATCTCGGCTCCCAGAGAGAAGTCCGTCGAATCGCGCTGTGCGGGTTTGAAGATTTTATTGACCGTTAGCCAAAGCCGTCAGACCGTTCTGACTTTGAGTTCACACTCAAGTATTACGCCGATAAAATTTTCGGTTCATAAAATACCTTGTCCTTTAATACAACGTGCCAAAAACAGGGTTATGCCAGTTGTTCGGAGACGCCGCCATCTGCAGCCAGTGGGACTTTTGAAGACTTTTCCAAAAAAAATCTTGATTGTTGAACTTCCTACAACTATTGAAACGTACTTGCTAGATTCCTGAACAGGTGGTATTTTATATAGGTCAGCTCTGACGAAACGCCGAGGGAGCGGCAGTAGGTATCTTTATTAATTCAGCCCTTTTAGGGTCATTTTTAGAATGTGGGGTGGGGCGTGGTCGCTTAGAATTTTTGGTTTTTTGTTGCAAGTAGATAATGCCACAAACGTCTAACTGGGTACAGTACAGGGTGTTTCAAGAAATTTGGAACAAATAATTTGCTTATATCTTTTTTTTCTTTGCAGCTATCAACGAATTTCTTTTTGCTTCTAAAAATTGACAGCGTGCGTTTTTAGAATCTCAAAAAAAAATTTTTTCGTCGGCGGAGGGCCCATTTCTCGGCGGAGAAAATTAGGGCCTTTTTTAAAAATCACAGCGTATTACGTGGCGGAAACGCCGTTGCAATGGCTGAAATCAAGTTTACGTTACACCTCCGTCGATTTTACGGTATGCATTTTTTTGTTTTCGATTTTACGCGCACCGCGGAGGCGCGGCGGAGACTTCAGATTTTGGCGGACGTTGTTTTGGGCCTTTGGCTGTTGCAATTCATGTTGGAAAAGAGTTTGGGGTGATTTTTTGTTGTCATCCGATGCACAGATGGCAAAAATTTCGTGCTTTTTTTCGCCGGCGGAGGATTCGGCGGAGGCTTTATCAAAGGGTTAAAGCAGTCTTACGAGTCCGGGAAAAATCTCAGCTACAAGAATCCATCAGAGCAGCATTGTCTGTCAAAGATTTTTGATTTTTTTGGTCCGGCGGACAAATCGGCGGAGTTTTGTTTTTACCCTTTGATAAAGCCTCCGCCGACTCCTCCGCCGGGGATAAAAAGCACGAAATTTTTGCCATCTGTGCATCGGATGACAACAAAAAATCACCCAAACCTCCTTTTCCAACATGAATTGCAAAAACCAAAGGCCCAAAACAACGTCCGCCGAAATCTGAGGTCTGCGCCGCGCATCCGCGGAAGTGCGTAAAATCGAAAACGCAAAAAAAGCATACCGTAAAATCGATGGAGGTATTACGTAAACTTGATTTCAGCCGTTGCAACGGCGTTTCCGCCACGTAATACGCTGTGATTTTTAAAAAAGGCCCTAATTTTCTCCGCCGAGAAATGGGCCCTCCGCCGACGAAAAAAAATTTTTTTTGAGATTCTAAAAACGCACGCTGTCAATTTTTAGAAGCAAAAAGAAATTCGTTAATAGGTGCAAAGAACGCAAAAATATAAGCAAATCATTTGTTCCAAATTTCTTGAAACACCCTGTATATGTACGGAAATGACCTTTGTCTCAAATTTTGTTGCAATTTACGTTAAAAAAGGTTGTTTTTACTTTTCAGATGGCCACGAACTGTGTGGACGCGGTGAATCAAGCCGTGATACAATCGGTGTCTTTTTCGGCCATGCTGGCCAATTTAGTTTTACTTTGGTTGATACGAAATCACACGCCGAACCCGATGAGTAGCTACAAAAAAGTTTTGTACACCTCATCCGTCATCGATCTGCTCTCTTCGCTCTCTCATTTCTGTATAATTCTGGTGAGTTTGGACGGACTTGGCATGCGAGGGCCCAGATACTGTATTGAGGGGTCGGTGGCTGGGCCGATGTGTGCGTATGGGTCTGTCGGGATAATAATGTGGATTGGTCGCTGAAAAAAAAGAGCAATAATGGGACGATTCCGAGGCGCGACAAATCCACTTTATTTTCGCTGTACTAGTGGCGCCATAAAGCCCGTAGAGTTTTTTCGGCGACGTCGCGGAGTGCGCCCCACTCCTTTTTTTATAAACCTTTCTCATGCCATCTTTTTTCAGCGCACCGAAATAGAAAATGGAATCACCGTCAACAGCTTCGACGGGTTTCTTCCCCGACTCCTCCACAAAATGGGCCTTGTGGACGATGCAAACTTGGCATATCTTGTGTTGGTCGAACTCGCCTTTGAATACATCATGTTAGGCTTTTGTTTTGTGCCCTTCACTTACCGCTATTTTCATATGGTGTGGAAAATCCGGTTTACAAATGCAACATTTGCTTTACTGATGTCGATTTATGTAATCCCGATCGGCCTTTTCGCGTTTATAGTTGCGTACTTGGCCGGGAATACGTACTCCCACATGACGCAATTGGTATCTCCAGCTGATCCGAATTGCGTGAAGCGTATGCCGTACTATGATTACAAGAGTTATCCGGTGGAGGTAAGGTCGAATAAAAAACTAGAGGGAAGGGGCTTGAAGTCGTATTTTACTTTTATTTTTAGCCCTACTTGACCATTTGGTCCTTCGTCAAATTCCCCATGCTCGAGATAATGGTAGCTCCATTATTTCAAGTTTTTTTTATCTGGCGGATCTACGAGTACTTGAACAAGGATGTACGAAAATCCGATTCCTACCTCATGATGCAACGGCAAATCACTTGGACGTTGACGGGCCAATCCGTAACGCCCTTAATCCTCATCACCGTTCCACAATTCTTGCTGGTCTATATCTATGATGCCGGCGTCAACATGGACCCGTCGCTTCGCACTGCGGGTGGGGTCAAGTTTTTCTCATGGGGGTGGTGAAGTCTTGTCAATGAGGCAGCCTTTAGTTAAGCGTGGCATTTCAGGAGATTTTTGTGTTAATGCGACCGTACTCGTTATAAAAGCCCATTGGCATTAACATTAGGGGGGAGACTTGACCAACCCATGAGGAAAACTTGACCCGATTTGCAGTGCTTCGCGTTCTTAACACTTCCTTGGCCATGGTTCCGCTGACCAATTCACTGTCGACAATTCTGCTGATCAAGAGTTTCCGGACTACTGTAATGCACGCGGTCTTAAGACGTGTTGGTGTGAAGCAAAGAGACTCCATGTGGTTGAGAACGGGCTCGCTGTCATTTAGTGGGAGCGTGCGATAATTATGGCAGTCGACCCGGCACTGTGGGCGAAGCAGCATCGAATGTAAGGCTTTAGAATTTGTTGCGGAGTGACACGTCAAGATTTCGCGCTCAACGGGATTCAAAAAAACGAAAATTGGCATTCCGTGTCCAAAAAAATCCGTCTCAATGATGGTTTTTTGGACGGTTTATCAATTTTGACACTTCGTTTGGACGAAACTCCAAAGTGGGCGGGAAACATTTTTCTTCTATTTCGGGTTGCCGGACCATTTGGTTCACTTCCGTCCTTCTGTCGAAAAGGACAACTTTTCGGAGCAACTTTTCAAGCTTGTCGGTCGATTATCTCGCTCCCAGAGCCGGTGGAGGTTACGGTTTACAGATTCGAAATCCCTATTCCACCCTCTTCATCCCCAGTCGTTTTTGGAAACGATCCGTGACTTTTACGCTTTTAAAAGACGATTTCTGAGTCAGTGCGTCAGCCGTGGACATAGGAAAAAATCGATTTTGAGTTTTTTGCATTAAAATGACTGTTGGAAGGGGCTAAGCAAAAGCGAACAATATTTTTTCCCAAATCCTTCGTTAAGGTATATTTTTTTACAATTAACTGTTTTAGAAGTAATCGCCTCTAGCTGTGGTATCTTGCCTTACAGTGCAGTGATTTGACGGCTACTGTAGTTTTTGACCCTTGCGAACACGATGGAGTGATTATTTTTCCCGGTTTCCTACTGTAACATACCGTAATACCGTATCGACCGCTAAAAAACGGTCGTAAAATCTTTGTTTCTAAAAACCCCCAGCTGATTTTTTGATATGTTAATCAGCGTAAAATTCTGCTCTGGACCCAATCAAAAAAAGTGCAAAAAGTGGTGCGACAAATTTCGTGGTGTAGTGGTTAGTGGGCGGGACTACCATTCCAGCGTCCCGGGTTCGATCCCGGCTGGGTGCAAATGTCAAAAAAATGCCGCAAATCAATTTTAATGTAAAAATAAGGAATGTTCGAAGAACAAAAAGCAATTTTAAATGATTATGACACCTCTGTCTTCAAGTTAACCCGGTTTAATGTCATCTTAGCGGCTGAAAACGGAAAAAATAAAAGTGTTTCAAATGTGATAAAATTTATAGATATGCTTCTACAGGTTATTATAAGAAACTTTTCCGTTAGTCTTTTTTTGTAGCCTACAGTATAACGGATTACTGTAACATGAAACTATTTATAAAAAATCGATTTTCCCTTCGATGCTCTTGAAAAAAGGTTGGGATTTTTTGTTAGACCGCTCTGCCAGCAAAAAAAGTCGCCTTTCGTTATCCGAAACAAAATTCCGAATTATTTCGAGTATGTTCTGACGTCATCGTTGATCGCTAATACGGTGAAAGATTATTCAGGTATACCAAATCATACTGCCATAAAAAATATTTTTTTTCACAGATAAGCTTCTTGGTAATAATTCTGCACATTATGACGTTACTTCCAGCTCTCTTTCGCCATGTAGAACACAAAATACAAAATTGTGCATTATGCTACAGTAATCCGTTATACTGTAAGCTACAAAAAAAGACTAACGGAAAAGTTTCTTATAATAACCTGTAAAAGCATATCTATAAATTTTATCACATTTGAAGCACTTTTATTTTTTCCGGTTTCAGCCGCTAAGATGACATTAAACCGGGTTTACTCGAAAACAGAGGTGTCATAATCATTTAAAATTGCTTTTTGTTCTTTAGACATTCCTTATTTTTACATTAAAATTGATTTGCGGCATTTTTTTGACATTTGCACCCAGCCGGGATCGAACCTGGGACGCTGGAATGGTAGTCCCGCCCACTAACCACTACACCACGAAATTTGTCGCACCACATTTTGCACTTTTTTTGATTGGGTCTAGAGCAGAATTTTACGCTGATTAACATATCAAAAAATCAGCTGGGGGTTTTTAGAAACTAAGATTTTACGACCGTTTTTTAGCGGTCGATACGGTATTACGGTATGTTACAGTAGGAAAACAGGAAAAATAATCACTCCATCGTGTTCGCAAGGGTCAAAAACTACAGTAGCCGCCAAATCACTGCACTGTAAGGCAAGATACCACAGCTAGAGGCGATTACTTCTAAAACAGTTAATTGTAAAAAAATATACCTTAACGAAGGATTTGGGAAAAAATATTGTTCGCTTTTGCTTAGCCCCTTCCAACAGTCATTTTAATGCAAAAAACTCAAAATCGATTTTTTCCTATGTCCACGGCTAACTGGCGGCTGATTCACTGATTCAGAAATCGTCTTTTAAGTGACTTCCCTGAGTCCAATTCTATAGCGATGGAATGCTTTAGCGGCTCTTTAGAGTGCAGCTGACATTCAAATTCACAGCTGAAATTATTTCGAAATTACAAGAAGCGTAGTGCAGCGAACTTACCATGCCTTTTAAAGAAGTGGATGCCTTTTCGCCTCACATTTTGTTGCAATTTACATTGAAGGAAGATTTTATATTTTTTTGTTTTTCAGATGGCCATAAACTGTGTAGACCGCGTGAACCGAGTGGTAATACAAATATTGTCTTTTTCGGCCATGATGGTAAATTTAGTTCTACTTTGGTTGATCCGATATCACACACCGACGCCGATGAGGAGCTACAAAAAAGTTTTGTACACTTCATCGGCCTTCGATCTGCTCGCTTCGCTCTCGCATTTCTGTATAGTTTTGGTGAGTTTGGAGGGTGAGTTTAAAAGTGAATGCCGTTAGTAAAAGAAGCCTACGTTCTACGTCGCATTTTACAAACCCTTCTCATGCCATCGGTTAAAGAAACGCGAGAGCTATGACTTTCAAGGTTTGGCAGGCTGTCGGGAAAATTATGTGGATTTGTCGCGGTAAACTGTCTCGCCTCATCGCTACCGCACATCAAATCCCAGCTGCGGCTAGCCGTCGCAAAGCGATGATGGGCGATTTCAAGGTGCGACGAATCCACATTATTTTCCCGACAGACTGCTTAAACCTCAAAGACATATCTAGTTAGTATTTTACAAATCTTTCTCAAATTCTTATTTTCAGCGCTCCACTATGGACAATGACATTACCGTCAACAATTTCGATGGGTTTCTTCCCCGGGTCCTCGACAGAATGGGCCTTGTGGGCGATGGAAACTTGGCCTACGTCCTTTTCGTCGAACTCGCCCTTCAATACAACATGTTGGGCTATTGTTTTGTGCCCTTCACTTACCGCTACTTTCATATGGTGTGGAAAATCAGGTTTACAAATTCAGCGTTTGCTTTACTGGTGCTGGTTTACATAACTCCAATGACCCTTTTCTCGTTTATAATGGCGTATTTGGCGGGGAATACGTACTTCAAGATGACGCAGTTGGTGTCTGCTCCGGATCCGAATTGCATGAGAAATTTACCATACTACGACAACATGAAATATCCGGCTGAGGTGAGAAGAACAAAAAAAATTTAGGCTGATATAACGGCAATCCTCACAAATTGTTATGCATGCTCACTCCTTTCAGCCCTACGCTGCCATCTTCTCGTCCGCTGTGATCCCACTTCTCTGGACAATGGTAGCTCCATTATTTCAAGTCTTTTTCATCTGGCGAATCTACACATACTTGAACAACGATGTGCGAAAATCCGACTTCTACCGCAAAATGCAACGGCAAATCACACGGACGTTGACGGCACAGTCTGTAATTCCTCTCATCTTCATCGCCATTCCACTATTTTTCGTGGCCTTCGCCTTGGGCTACGACTTCACCAAGGACTTGTCGCTTCGCGTTTTTTACACTTCTTTGGCCATAGTTCCGCTGGCCAATCCGCTGTCGACAATCCTGCTGGTCAAGAACTTCCGACTGACTGTAACGGACGCAATAACGGCCACTCAGCAAAGGATGGGGAGTACGATGATGATGAGTACGGGTAGTGGTGTGGTCAGACGTGTGAGTGTAAAGCAAAGAGGCTGGCCGAGAAATGGCTTGGATGGACGGAGAAGCTACGGGAGCGGTTAGTAATCGACGATGCGCCATAGCAATTTCCTCTTTTCCGTAGAGCTTTAAAAAAGTTACTAACAATAAGGCATGGAAACTGTTGTTGTATAATGCTGATAAATTTGTTTTAAAAAACTCCTAAAAGTATTGGAGTATTGGCATGTCTGCGCGGCGTGTTTGATCGCGAGATTGTGAAATCTTCATTGTTCGTGTTTGCTATCCACAAAAAGCTCTTTTTATTGTCCGATACAAAGAATTGCTTCAGAACAGGTGAATTTTCACTTCTCGCGGGATCAACTTTATGGTATCCGCTTCAGAAGTCGGCAAAAAAATGAAAATGGAAGGAGGGACCAAGGTATTCGTCGGATACCTTCTGTCGGTATTCAGGTCGATATATGACTTCGGGCCAGGCCGGTCCGTCCGCTTCAAATTTGGCCCGATAGTTTTCAGACTCCAGCCATTGTATTCTGGTATTATCAAAAAACACCATTTTGAAGGCGGTTGAGCCTATTCTTTGTAGCGACAAATCATTTTTGGCTCTACTACTCCTACTACTTCTTGCTGAATCTTGTCAGATTCTACCGAAACTAGTTTCAATCATGTTTCAACTCGATGTAATTTCTCAAGTCAGAGAGAGAGACACAGCGGACCCAAATTGACTTATAAAGACATATAACGACTTATATGAACAGATAATGACTTATAAGTCAAAATAACGTCAAAAGAAGAGGGGCTTATTTCTCTTTACTTATAAAAACAAATAAGAACTTATAATAACAAATAAGTTCTTTGCAAAGAAAACTTTTGAGCGCCAAATACGCTTTTTGCTTTGTGCACGCGTGAGCTGGACTTGTGAAATTCTAAGTTTTTGGAACGTCGCGACGTATTTTTACCTTGGATCGATCAAAGTAAGATGCTTTTAATCAGCCTTTTTTTTGTTTTGCAAGAGTTTAGAGTGTTTAGATGAAAAGTCCCGAACGTAATAGCCTTCCCGTGCAGGGAGCATGCCAGCCTGAAGAAGATCCATCCCCAGAAGATGTATAAACATGCACGATCAACCAACGGATTGCTAAAGGATCCATTTGCTCAATTCTGGTAGGTGTTTTTTAACTGTTTTCCACATTTCAGAGGTCTCGAAAAAACTTCAAGACAAAGTTTTGTTATATTGTACTAGGTCCAGGTGAACCCGTTGGGTTTTAAATAACTGCAAAAATGGTCATGGAGGAATCCAATGGACAATGTATACACGATGAATAGAAAGATGACATCCGGTAGCTTCAGGTATGGTTGATAACATTCACCTGGACCTAGTACAATATCGCAAATTTCATGTCTAAAAATTTTTCCGCCAGAAACCTTTTAGGCAGTTCAAATTCATCTGTTTTACTGTTAGTATGTAACGCATAAAAAATTGAGTTTAAGCCGAACTCATATTATAGTTTCCCGAAAAAACTTTTTTCTAATATCTCCAAATATTTTCAGTGAAACCAGAAGCATTAGAAGCAATAATATACATCTACGGCCGCCTACAGAAGCGACGAACGCCCCATCAAAAAATCTCAGGTCCTTCGTGCATTGAAGTCTTATTCTACTTGTGCCACTTAATTGTTTGAGTTATTGATTGAAATAAATGTTCATTTTTTTGCACGGTGCGGTTATAAATAAAATGACTTATAAAAACATATATGAAATTATAAGTCAATTCAACAAGAGCGCACAGAGAAACCTTATAAAATCATATATGAACATATAAGTCATTTAAAATGACTTATAAGAACAGATAATGACTTATAAAAAAATCATTTCATTATAAGTCATTATATGTTTTTATAAGTCAATTTGGGTCCGCTGTGGAGAGAGAGAGCAAGAGAGATGTCCCCGGTGCCAACTGTTTCCCCGCTGTTCTCTCGATGTTCGAGAATATTCTATGGAGAGTCCATTTTGTTTCCGTCGTTGATAAATCTGTTGTAGATGGTTACACCATCTAAAACAAGAGGTCTCAACACGAAAACAAGGAGGACCAAAAAGCCACGTCAACAAATCAACAACAGGATTTTGGCTTCAATGTGCAGATTGGATTGGTGAGAAACGGTTGCTTTTATTTTCCTTTAGTTATTTAGTAGATAGTAGTTCAGGTTAGATAATAATTAGAGTATTATTTCGTTTATTATAAACGTGGTTAGTCTATTTTGTCCCATTTAGTTAGTCGAATTTGTCTTTTTTGATTTAGTCTTTGTCTTCGATAACATATTTATTCCGTCTTATTGTATTTGGTCTCGTGCGTGTTAATTTGAGAGTACTGTCAATAAACAGACATATTGAAATTATCGGATATTGAATTTTATCTTATATATAAGAGTCCTGGTGTTTCCACAAGGCCCACGATACACACGGTTTCGACCCGATATCGTTTACATCTGTTTATTTGAATCTAGCTTATCATATTCACATTGCCATCTCAGGGGAACGAATTCGCATCGAATACCCTCTTTCCACATCGGCAATCTTCCACTTGGAAGGCCAAGTATTTTCAGGTAGAAAGTTGCAAAAGGTATTCGGTGCCGACTCCACCGGAAGACCAAAAGCCAATCTCGTTTTCAAACGATTCTTTTCATATTTCGGTATGAGTGCAGGTGAAAAAAGGCGCACTATGTGTTGCCCTGTTTCTTGGCCTCCGACCATACTTTGGGCCGACTAAATATTCCAGCACTTTTTTAAAGCGCAAGGTTTTGCATTACCAACTTGCACCTGGAATGATATATTTACTAGACGCGTCAAAAATGCTCGACATGCCTTTTCACTGTTCGGACAGACGGCAGGAATTACTATATTATACAGTTACTACTATGTAATTTTCCCAGATGGCCATGAACTGTGTGGACCATGTTAACCAAACCGTAATACAACTGATTTCCTTCTCTGCCGTTACTGCGAACTTATTGCTACTTGCACTGATTCGAAATCACACACCAAGACCTATGACGAGCTATAAGAAAGTTCTATATACTTCATCCGTATTCGATGTTCTTTCAGCTGTTTCCCATTTCTGTATCATTTTGGTGAGTTTATCAGTTTGTCGGGGAAATAATGTGGATTCGAGTGGCATTGGACACTCCCATTATCCGGGCGATTCCATAGTTGTGGAAGTTCACTAATTTTGCGACGAGAGCTGTTATCATTTATCATTATCATATCAGTTTATCATTAAAATAATGAGCACACTATCGTTGGGCCAATCGCCGAAGTGAAACGCAATTTGATCTCGTCGCGACGCAATTCATAAATTCTTGGTGGATTTTCGATACAAAATTTGGCTCATTATTTTCTCGACGTACTTATTCTCTGCACCGTATTTCACACACAAACTTTCCCACCCCTCCTTATTTTCAGCGCTCCAATATGGACAACGAAATTGCCGTCAACAATTTCGACGGCTTTCTTCCCCAACTCCTTGACAAAATGGGCCTTGCGGACAATGGAAACCTGGCCTATCTTCTGTTCATCGACCTCGCCCTACAGTACAACATGTTAAGCTATTGTTTTGTGCCCTTTACATACCGCTACTTTTATATGGTGTGGGACATCAGGTTTACAAATTCCATGTTTGCCTTACTGGTGCTAGCTTACATAACTCCGACGACCATTTGCGCATTCATAATTGCCTATTTGGCTGGGAAAACGTACTCCCAAATGACGCAGTTGGTGTCTCCTCCGGATCCGAGCTGCTTGAAAAATTTGCCATGCTATGATTACATGAAATATCCAGCGGAGGTGAGGTCGAATAAAACAAAATAACCAGAGGGAAAGCGTTTGAAAAAAGCAAATCGCAAACTGAGGAGTCCGTGACCGGAATACCTTCTTCGCTATCGGTTTTTTGCACTTCGTCTTGACTTCACAGAGAAGGCATGGCACAAATTTAGGCTAAGTCTTTCAAAGACACCTGTCTAATTCCCGTTTGCGGAAACGACCGACATTTTTTGGGCAAAAGTTGACAGAAGCCCAGTATTTTTTGCTGATCCGCCTTGTAAAACGAAGGCGCCTCCCAATTTGAGCGTACCTTTTATTTTCAGCCCTACATCACTATTTTTTCCTTCGTCAGAATCCCCACTCTCTGCATGGTGGTTGCCCCATTATTTCAAGTCTTTTTCATCTGGCGAATCTACAAATATTTGCACAAGGATGTGCGAAAATCCGACTCCTACCGCCAGATGCAACGGCAAATCACACGGACGTTGACGGCGCAATCCGCAACGCCTCTGATCTTCATCGCTATTCCACAATTTTTCATGGTGTTTGCCTTTGATTTCGGCTTTAACGCGAACTTGTCGCTTCGCGTTTTCTACACCTCTTTGGCCATAATTCCGTTGGCCAACCCGCTCTCGACAATTTTGCTGGTCAAGAGCTTCCGGACTGCTGTAGCGAACCGTGACTGCAGAGGTGTGAGTGTAAAGCAAAGAGACTCCGTTTTTTGGAGAAATGGCTCGGATGGGCCGGTAAATACCGGGAGCGGAAATGGTCGGACAGGGCTGGGAGCGCCGTAAAAAAGCTGCAATAATCATTGTTGTTGGATAATACTGTTAAATTTGTGATAAATAGCTCAAAGCTTCGATGTTTTTTGATGATTGGGAAACTCTTTGTTTACATACATTTTCATTCAATTTCTCTTTCTTTCCAACTTCCTTTTCTTGGAGATAAGAGGTTTATGTATTCTTGTTAATGTTAAATTGTATAAAACACAATAGAATTTAATGTCTGAAACAATGAAATGTTACGTAAAAAAGCACATAATGTTGCTTAAACCTAAACCTAAAAGTCATTCAATTTCTCTCTATTTCCAAGTTCCCGTACGACGTTTTTATAATACATATAAGTATCAGCCGGGAAAATAATGTCGATTTATCGCCGTAAAATGTCTTGCCTCGCCGCAGTTGCGCGCCTAATACCGTGGCTAGTAGTTGCAATGCAATGATAGGCAATAGGTGCGAGTGAGTGCACATTGTTTTCCCGACAGACTGAAAAACAGTGATACTAGGCGTTTCCAAAAGTCCGTGGACTTTTTGCCGCGACGCACAGTGCATTTTATATTGTTCTTTCCACGATGCGGGTTTTTCGAACATTTTACATTGTGCATTTTTACCCATCGCGCAAAAACGCTTCAGAAAGACCGCAGCGGCTCCGTTGAAAATGGCTTTTGTCGCGCGACACACGGTGCAAAATGTGGGGTTTTTTGCGCGGTGCGACTCCGCGACAAAAATACTAACGATTGTAAGCACTTTTGAAAAGGCTAACTGTAAGTCGAGCTAACAAAGAGGAGTTGGGCTTACACACAACTTTCAAATATGAATAGACACGCATACAGTATGTATATTTCAAGCAGTACCCACATCACATCCCACGGCAACGCAGGGAGTTTCCCGCCCCATTTCGGCACTTCCCCCCACCCAGTATGGGTTGTAGTCAAACGAAATGTCAAAGATGAATTTTTCGTGGGGTTTTCCGACCGAAAAACATTTATTTTTATTTCTTTTGTGAATTTTGACACTTCGTTTGGACGAAACTCAAAAGTGGGCGGGAAACATTTTAGCACTATTTTGGGTTGCCGTGCAACTGCAATATCAGATTCTGACAAGTCTAGCCCAAACCGAATCAGAATTTCATTTCCCTCACTTCCATATTTTGCACCTTTAGGTGATGAATCGAGAGTAAATTTCAGGTGGTTTTACCATGTTACTTATTCCGAAATTGCGGTATTCCCGTTGTAGTTGCATTGGTTATTCGCAAACGGTCGCTTTCATTGGCCGCGCCAAAGATTTCGAAGGCAACAGGTGGAAAATCATAAATTCCAGGTATAATAACCAAATGTTGCTTGGTATTCGGAAAGTTCCAAACAGTTTGACTGGAAAATTTTGGGCTGAGACCCCGCCACTGTAGGGCGCAAGACATTTTGCTTCTACTGGCGGCCAAAAGTCCTGAGAATTTCTGGCGGCCCCCGAAATTCTGCTCAGACCGGGACATCGTACGCCGCGTTGAATTATCGCTCGGAAAAATGGGAATTGCGGTCGATGTAGTGTATCAGTCGCGCCATAAAGTCCGCAGATTTTTTCTGCGACATCGCGGGGTGCGCTCGCGGAAAAATACATGTCGCTAGTGCAAAAATGAGAAGTCGCAGTGGCGTGAAAAGAAGAAAAAGCACTGCTAAAAATTCTACGCACCTTACGGCGCGACTGGTAGTATCAGTATGTCGGGAAAATAATGTGGTTGAGTCGCTCCTTGGAATCGCCCATCATTGCGTCGCGTCGGCTAGCCGCGGATGGAGAATTGTTGCGCGACTGCACTTTTTCTTCGACAAGGAAAAAAATTCCAATTTTCCGAGCGATATCAGTTTCAGTTTGTCGGGAAAACCTATTTTCCCGACAAACTGATATTTCGGGCTGCGTGCCATTACATTTTTTTGGTTTTGAGCGTCTAATTTTGCGGCCGACGGATATTTCAGGCCTCTTTCTGGGCCACTAAATGCATATTAGTAGCGTTGTATTACAGTCCAAGAGTTTGCATGTCATTAAAACTTGCGCCTGAAATTATTGCGACATGAAAAACAACTTCTGTCACGTTGAAATGTTTCTTAAGGTCTCCTCTTAAGAAGGGCGGGGACTTTTTTCGTTTTGTGATACGATAGTATTAGAAAAAATTTGTTCAAAATTTCCGATAGCTTGTAGAAAATATCATTCTGTCGGGAAAATATTGTGGATTAGTCATAGAAAAATTTCTCACCTCGTTGCAGTCGCGGGCCAAATCTCCAGCTACGGATAGCCATCGCACAATGATAATAGGCGATTCCAAGGGGATCGCCGTTATCCGCATTATTTTCCCGACAGACTAAAATTTCTGTATATTTCTGTGAGCTACCGTAATTTTCGGTCAAATTGTCGCTAGAAAACAGCGATAATTTCGTTTATCGTTGTCGCGATAGCCCCAGCGCTGCCCTTGAAAAACTAGTCACTGTTGTCGCTGTTATTTTTTTAATTTTCACATTGCAAAAAAAAATAAAACTTTCAATTTCTGCTCTTTCAGATGGCCATAAACTGTGTGGACTATGTGAACCAAGCCGTGATACAATTCTTATCTTTTTCGGGCATGATGGCTAACTTGGTTCTACTTTTGTTGATCCGCAATCACACACCGTCGCCAATGAAGAGCTACAAGAAAGTTTTGTATACCTCGGCTGTCTTCGATCTGCTCGCTTCACTCTCTCATTTTTGTATTATTTTGGTGAGTTTTGAGGGGGTTTGAAGTTCGAAAGATACAATTACTAAAAGGTTGTTTCGAAGGGCGAATGAATTTGAAAAGGACTAAACGTTGTTTTCCTCTGCAAAGGCCATAAATCATTTCTCAAAATTTTACACCACAGGTGTTCCTAACTTTATCCGTGATGAATTTCTGCATTTTTCATCAGAAGGGTAACGTTTCAACAAAAAAAAATTGCACAGGAAATTGGCTGAGATGTAGTCGAACGAATGCTTTTTTCTCTCTAACTGCTCTCCGCATTTTGTGTACACTGTCGGCGGCAAAGATCGTTGAGTATCTTGAATGTGTCTTCAGTTTACAGCCACGCATACAACGTTTTTTCAAAAGTGTGTAGACTTGTTTAGCTGTACAATACAACCAAATAGCGCGACAAAAGCCATATTTATTTCGTTGCGACGATCCTGAAGCAATTTCGCGCGATGAGTGAAAACGCACAGTGCAAAATGTTCGAAAAGCCCGCACCGTGCAAACAAAAGGCAAAATGCACCGTGCGACAAAGAATCTTTGCACTTCGAAAAGGCGTAGCCGTCTGTCGGGAAAATACTGTGGATTTGTCGAGGAAAAATTGTCTCGCCTCGTCGCAGACGCGCCCCAAATTTCCAGCCGCGGCTGGACGTCGCAAAGCCATTATGGGCGATTTAAAGGGGCGAAGAATCCACATTATTTTCTGAACAAACTGATATCTGGGCCTATGTGTGCCCAGTTGGAAAAAAATCTGAGAATTACGCTTTGAAAATTTGCCTTCAGGCTTTTAGAGGCAAAGATTACTGTGTATTGAATATAGTACCGGTCTTGCCATATATATACGTACAAAAATTAATTGACTTAAAAGATGTCGTATTTTACAAACCCTTCTAGCCCCTCCGTTTTTTTTCAGCGCTCCGCCATGGACAGTGACGTCACTGTCAACAACTTTGACGGTTTTCTTCCCCGAATTCTCGAGAAAATGGGACTTGTAAACGATGGAAACTTGGCGTATCTTCTGTTTATCGAGCTCGCCCTTCAGTACAACATGGTGGGCTACTGTTTCGTGCCTTTCACCTACCGCTACTTTCTTATGGTGTGGGAGGTCAAGTTTAATAATTATACGTTCGCTTTACTGGTTTTATTTTACCTCACACCCACCATGGCGTTCTCGTTTATAATGGCCTATTTGGCTGGTAATACGTACTCTGCGATGACGCAGATAGTTTCGCCGACCGACCCAAATTGTTTGAGAAATTTGCCCTACTACGACAGCGTCAAGTACCCTGCTGAGGTAGGTTTTGTGCTGCTTCCTTTACATAAAGTGCATAGACCTTTCGCTGCATTTTTTTAGTACTAGGCGGCGTCAAAAAGCCTTGACGTGTTTTTCGCACAAACTTTGGTATCCCTGAATGCTTACTCGCCAGGCATTGCTCCGTCGGACTACCACTTGCTGCGATCGCATGCCCACCACCTTGAGGGAAAAAGATTTGACACATCCGAGCACCTGTGAAACGAGTGGAGTGTTTCTTTAGGTCAAAGTCGCCTGTCTGAAGAATCAGCACAGCGCTGTGCTGTTTCTTCCCTACGGCGCGCCGTGCAAACACGTCAAGACTTTTTGACCCGCCTTGCACAGTGGGGGACCTGATCCAGTGGCAAAAACGTACCATTTTGCTTTTGAAATCGGAGTTTTTTCACTTAGAGAGGGAAGGATTTCGCCACATTTTTGATACTTCTCGGATGCAAATTGACACATTTTTTTGCCACTGGATCAGGTGCTCCACTGTAAAAACGACCAAAAATTAACTGGTCTACACTCTGTCCTCTCTTCAGCCCTACAAAACCATCTTCAACTTCGCCGCCGTCCCATTGTATTGGGTTCTGATTGCGCCGTTCTTCCTGGTCTTCTTCATTTGGCGAATCTACCGTTTCCTCAGCGCGGATGTGCGAAAATCCGACTTCTACCGCAAGATGCAGCGGCAAATCACGTGGACGTTGACGGCGCAGTCTGTAATCCCGCTAATCTTCATCGCGATTCCATTGTTTTTTGTGTTCTTTGCGTTGGGCAACTTGTACTTCGGGTGGGGCTACGAGATCTCGCAGGACCTGTCGCTTCGCGTTTTTTACACGTCTTTGGCCATAATTCCGCTGGCCAATCCGTTGTCCGCAATCTTGCTGGTCAAGAACTTCCGACTTACCGTGACGAACGCACTAACTGCCACGGATCAAAAGACGGGAATTACGTCGATGATGAGCACGAGTAGTGGTGCCGCCAGAAGTGTGAGTGTGAAGCAAAGAGGCTCCGTCTTGTCGAGGAATAGCGCTGATGGAAGGCGAAGGGAGCGGTAATGGACTCGTCGAGGGATCCATACATTTTTTGAATCTCCCTCCACGAGAATTACGACTGTTTAGGTGGCACTTCTGATGACGTCACTCCATTCAAAACTGAAGCTATCAGGTATAAACATAGGCTCTCTTTTGGCCATAATTCCGTTGGCCAACCCGCTGTCGACAATTTTGCTGGTCAAGAGCTCCCGGACTACTGTAATGAGCAGGTTCTTACGAAGTGCGAGTGTAAAGCAAAGAGACTCCGTTTGGAGGAGAACTGGCTGCTCTCATGGACAGTCAGATAGCTGAGGCGACGATGGATGGACAGGGCTGGGAGTCTCGTAAAAAAGCTGCAATTTTTTGTTGGATGATTTGCCAAAAGAGACGTAAAAAGGATGTAAATATAGTTTCTCTTTGGCCGTACTGGTATATGTATATAATACGTGCTTGTTAAGTTTGTAAAATAAACGAAAATTTCGGTTAGAAGTTTCTCATAGTGGTACATTCAGGAGCAGCAAGGACGCTCCACAGAGCATAGTGAAGGACTAGGAGCACCACAAAGCTACCGATTAATGAGGACATCCAAGGCTGATTGGGTATCAAGGGAGCTGCGGAGGGATCCACGACAAGGAATATCGCAAGGGTTTTTCAACTGCTTCGCCGCGTTGTCGCTCAAGAATCTACACAGCGCAGACTTTTCTGTGGTTTGCACTATACGAAAAGAAAAAAAATGCATTCTGCGTTGGCAACAAGCGTGGGAAAAGGTTCAAAATGCGCTGTGTCGTGGAGAACAAATGTCCATGCATTTTATGAAGTAAAACCGCGAGGCGTTTGGGCCACCGCCGAGTACCGAAGCGATATGATTGAGGACGTTGGCATTCCGCCACAAACCGTTCAAACGAGGATTATGGGGACAACCGGGATCAGTAGGGGTTAGAGGCTTGGACAGAGGAAGGTTGGTGGAGAAGAAGGACGCGCGGACGGTCGTGCGAGGCACCCGTGAGGGAGATCTGGTCTATTCTTATCTAGTATTGTACTGTACTAGCGGCCATCAATATAATATATCAACGGAGACCTTGGGAGTTGGCATTTAGAGAAGGGTCTAGAGGGAGTTGTCCCTTGGATACCATGGAGGAACCTAGTGGACCCCGGAATCACCTGGGGGAAGGGCCCGCGAAGTTCGTAAGATGAAAATGCTAATCTGACAAAAAAACATTTTCCTCATTCGACCCATCTCATCTTTTAAACCACAAAAGTTTTTCGTAATATCACAAGTAACGAGGGTGTCGTGGACCCCACAACACAATCCCTCGTTATTGAGTTTAAAGAGTACAAAAGCAAGTACCTTCCCAGAACCGAAAAAGCTGCTACAATTTCAACAACGCCGTAAATGCTCAGCTACATTTGACCCTCAAAATTAGTATTTTATCATGTCAGACTGCGGCGATACCCCCGAGATAGTGTTTCGGGTCATTTGCTTCTTCGCCATCGTCTTCAACGTCCTGTTCTTCCTGCTGATCCGTTACAAGACGCCGAGAACGATGACCGCCTACAGCAAAGTGTTGTACACTTCTTGCATTTTTGATGGACTCGCGTCAATTTCGCATTTCCTCATTGGAAACGTGAGTTGTTCAATTTTATTCGTCTAGGTTTTAACGAGGGAAATCCTGGAAAAAAGTTCCTTATTTTGGCCACAACAAAGGTACTCCGCGAACTGCGCCCAAGCTTGGGCACTAAAGTTAGGAAAAAACGCTTCGACCTAGCTGGCACTGAATTACTATAATAGCTATATAGTTTTAGGGGTGCCTATGAAGGTGTGACGACTCATTTAGTTCCATACGGAGGCAATAAGTTAAGTTCCGGAAATGTTCATCGTATAAAGTGTAAAATCACAGGCTGCAGCCGTTTTTGAAGGGTAAGGTGGTACGTAAAAAAGAAGGTGCCTCACTAACTAAATCCACTGTCCGGGCATTGACAACGATGAATTGAGCGTGCACGCTAAATTTGGGCTAATTCCGACCAGTTTCCGCAAAGTTATAAGTCGTGGCCAAAATAAGGAACTTTTACCGAAATCCTAAAAGTGCTACGCTCAGACTATCTTTCAACTTTGCCCACATGTCAGAAATAGGCCGCATATCAATTCCTGCAAGTTTTAGCACGCACTTTGCAGGCACAGCAGAGGTAGTAAACGATCTTTGCGGCCGAGAGAGTAGACGAAAAGCGGAGAGTAGTCAGAGAAAAGCCACTTTTGCCCATATCTTTGCTAATTTCGCGCTTAAACAATTGATTTTTGGTGGAAAAAATTGCACACTATGACAGAAGAAGGCATGAAAATTTTTACATCGAAATTCAAAAAAAAAACTGTCATATTTTTTCTAATTTGTGACTTCAAAATTGCGGACGTTTTGGAAAAGCGCGATCACATCCTTATATCAGTCTGTCGGGGAAATAACGGCGGGTCTTCACGCCTTGGAATCTCCCATCATCGGTTTGCGACGGCTAGCAGCAGCTGGGAATTTGGCCACTTTTTTCCTCCACATATTGATAACAACTGACGTAAATTTGTTCAAAGTTTCGTCAAAATCTGAGCGTTGACTTGGAGTACTTCCCTGTAAGCAGGGATGCCTCAGATTTGGACAAAATTTTTCCCAAAATAGCTTTTCCTACTCCGCTTTCTTCAAAAGTGCTTGTATTTTTTGCCCTCGGCACGCAGCGCAAATCGCTTCAGAAATTTCGCAGCGACCAAGCTAGCTGGCGTTCGTCACGGGATATTGCGGGCGCACGTGCCAAATGTCAAATGCACCGAGATAAATGCGGCTCATTTCCCATCCACCTACTCCCTTCTTCTAGTGAATATCACGTAAATAGACCAATTATTACACTTCAAAAAGGCTCTGAACCGTACCTACAATGCAAGACAATAACTGTGAGGCGGCGATTTGCAGAAGCTCACGTTTTCTATATTAGATATTAGATATTTCAAAAAGTGCATGGACATTTGTCGCGACCAGACTTGCCTCCTGGGTGGTATACTTTTGAGCCCAAAAAATAATAAAAAATTTTATTTTCAAGGTAAACTAAAAACACAGTTTTGTAAAGAAGAAAAAGCTCTTTCGAATGCATATATGCACTTTGCCAAACAATAAACAATCGTTGCAAAACGAAGCAATAAAGAAACTTTACGAACTAATATGAAGGTCGCGACCCAGGTCGTGATCTAGCGATCTTGAAACGTTAAAGTTGGACAGCTTGCTTTCAGCGCCCATTATTCGTCAAGGACGTGTTGGCCAACGATTTTGTGGGCCCCATCCCCCGCCTCTTCGCTCATATGGAATGGATTTCGGACGAAGGCTACGCGTATTTCATCGCACTGGAATTTCTTTTCCAATTCTCCACTTTATCCGTCTGCTTTGTGCCATGTACTTATCGCTTCTTTCACTACATACGGTAAACTTGCGGGCGCTACGACTTTTTGGGTCAGCGACAGTTCGGGTCAACGATACTATGGATGGGCTCGGTTAGTCGGTGTATGCATGGAGGAGGCTAGGAGAAGGCTTACTAGTTAGTGGAAATAATAAGATTGGTGGAGTCCTAGGACGGCTTATCACCTATTTTGAGGCATTTTACTTGTACTCGCATAAATAATATTTAGATAAAAATTACGGGTTTTCGTTTTTTTGCCGCAAATTTTGGTCGTTTTTACGTTAAAATTACCCAGAGTAAAGAAAATTAACGTTGGAAATGGCTAAAATTAGAAAAAGTGGACATATCGCACGTCTCTGCCAAGTCTCCGCCAAGCCTTCGCCGACTATCCAACGGCTTTGTCAGGCCTTGTAGGCACTTTCTACGGCCTTTTTTTGGGTGTCCACCTGCCCTACGCGTTGTATCGATCGATTTTGTATTGACCCGAACTGTCGTCGACCCGAAAAGTCGGGAAGCGATTAGAGGCGGCAATCGGGCCCTGACGAGCCCATACTTGAAAAGCCCCGGCCTACCCCCTACAGACAGGCCGCCAAAATCGGAGCGGCCCGATCGTCACCTCGAGACGCGGCGACAAGAACGAAAAAACAGAAAAAAGTGCTGTGCAAGTTCTAAAGTTCGGCCATTTCGATCCGGTGGTTTTTCAGAAACACAACGTTTACTCGATTTAAGTTTGGATTACTGCTTTTGGTCTATCTTATCCCTCCATTTATGGTGGCCATTCCCTTCGCCATGTTATCGGCTCTAGTGTACACTCCGATGAAAGGTTATATTGGAAGAAGCGGCTTGGAATGCACTACCTGGTTCCCAGCCATCGATGGGAGAATTTACAAGGAAGAGGTCAGATTTTTCTCCACATTTGATCACCCCTCTGATATCGGTTTTTCGGAAAAATAAAGCATATACAATTTGTAGTCCACGTTTCAGCAACTTTCGTCTCTTGTCGACATCCCCTACAAATTTGGACAGCTGCTTTCCCTGTTTCCCATCTTCTTCATCTACTTTCTAATTCGTATCTTTGTCAAACTGAACGAGGATGTCAAAAAGTTGTCGTCGGCGGCGGGAAGGATGCAAAAAGAGATTACGGTGACGTTGACGGCGCAGGTAAGCTCAATATTGATACTGTAACCATTAATTTGCTTTTAATAAAGCAATTTCCAGGCTGTAATTCCATTACTCTTTACCTCGTTTCCCGTATTCTACGCCTCCTACACGTTTGGGCATCAAGGAGACAAGGAGGGCGCGATGCGACTGGTTATCTACTCGGTCACATTGTTCACACTTGTAAACCCAATCGCGTCAAGCTTACTGGTCAAGAACTACCGACATACCATCTGGAGGGTGGTTTGTTTCGGGAAGATGAAGGAAAAGTGCGTTCGTAACCCGACTTCCCGAATAACCTCGGAAATTAAAATTCTCTCGTCAAAGCTTTGAATAAACAGTGGTTTTGTCAAAAATTTTGTCGTCTTACTCGGTGTTTTTGAAAGCCACGTGCTTTTTATAGTACATATTATATTGTTTGAGATGCGAAAAGCCGGTAGAGCTTGCACAGCACGGTTTCCTCTGATTTTTCGTTCTTGTCGTCGCGAAAAAGCCGTTTGCACCGTGCGAGTTCTTGGCGCCGTCGCAGCGACATCGTTGAAACTTGCCGATGTCGCCGCGATATTTTCATGCACAGTGCAAAAACCAATGAAAAGGTGAAATGCACTGTGCAAAATCGGGTGCTTTTTGCGCACGATGCGGAGCGCGACAAATGTCCATGCAATTTGTGAAAATAGGAATGTGTAATGCAAGTATTTTTTTCAATTAAGGGTACTAACCCGAACTGTGGTCTACCCGAAAAGTCGGGACGCGATTAGAGGTGGCAATCGGGCCCTGACGAGCCTGGATTTGAAAAGGCCCGCGGCCGGCCTGCTCCCGTCAGCCAGGCCGTAAAAATCGAAGCGGCTGGATGCCATCTCTCAAAGCAGTAGCAGACAATGGTAACTGTCAGAACAAACGATCATCATTTTCGAAATCAGCTCCTCAAAAACCCCTAATCGAGTATTTTTAGAAAAAATTCAAAAATTACTTCTTGACATTACTACTTAAGCAAAAAAGTAAGAATCGGAACAAATGAATATGATTTTTGGAATCTACGCCATCGATTACCCAATTTTTGACCTTCTCGGCCATTTCGGGCAAACATCGAAAGAGACCCCCGATTCCGGGGTCTCTTTCAACTCGGGGTCTCTTTTGAAGGAAACCGGGGAAATGCACTGTGCAGAAACGAAAAAAATGTCAATGCACTTTACGAAAACAATAATACTATTTCCATCTATCACTGTCCGTCTCACATTCCATCTTACATTCCATTTCTTCGTATTCCGAGTACAATGAGGCCCTCAAAACATGGAATCGAAAACAAAAAAAATTCACAAGCTACAACTATTTGACATTACTTTAGACGCCATTCGCCGGCTACGAAAAGTTTCGAATGCCCGGTGTTTTGAGGTTTTCCTCAATTTTTGAAACATGCCCGGCTGCAGAATATCGCCGATGGAGACGGTGTTTCGCATTGTGTCGGTGTTGGCAGTCGTTGTTAACGCCCTATTCGTACTACTCATCAAGTCAAAGACCCCAAAAATGATGATCAGCTACAGAAAAGTGCTGTATGGATCGTGTGCCATCGATGGGCTGGCGGCATTGTCGCATTTGCTGATCGGAATTGTAAGTTTTTTGCGGCGAACAAGAGATGTATTAGTCTGTCGGGAAAATAATAATAAAATAGCATTTTTTAAAAGTGCCTGGCAATTTGTCGCGGTTGGATGTTGGTTTTATTTACCATTGGTTATTGTAACATATAAAATTCCAAAATTTGCGGCAAAAAACGAAGATCCGTAACTTTTATCCAGATATGATTGACGTGAGGGCATGTAAAATACATACCTCAAAATAGGTGATAAACAATCCTACGAGTGATCAATATTATAATCTTTGTTAAGTCTTGCAACTTTACGCCTTCTACTAGCTATCGATTATTTCCCAGAATTCAGAGTTTTTCTTGTTTTTCAGCGTCCTATCTTCGTCAAAGATGTGCTGAGTTTCGACTTTACCGGCCCAATCCCTCGACTCATCGACTACATGGGATGGCTGCCGGATGGGAAGATTGGGTATATCCTGTTCTTCGAAACGGTCTTTATGAACTCCATTGTCTGCTACTGCTTTGTGCCCTACACCTACCGCTACTTTCACATGATAAGGTGGGATTTTCGGATTAATTTTGTACGTCAAAATGTCCGCATTTTAGGGGCACATCATTTACAATTCCAAAATTTCTACTCCTCCTGCTAGTCTACTTGTCGCCGGCGGTTGTTGTTGCCACTTCACTGGCCGGGTTGTCGGCTCAAGTCTACGAGAAAATGACGGAGTTCACGGGAGTGGCGGAAGACGTCTGTGTGAGAAGGGTGCCTATGATGGACCCGAGGTTTTACAACGAGGAGGTAAGAAGAGTCAATTATTAGTCAGTCGGGAAAATAACGTGGACTTGTCGCAGCAGAATGTCTCGCATCATCGCAGTCACGTGCCATGTCTCTAGCCGTCGCAAACCGATGATGACTTATTAGGTTGAACCAAAAATCTTTTCCGATTTTTTATTAAAAATTTAAACATAATTTTACAACAAATAAAAATCAGTTAACAGGGAAAGTAATCCAAGTACTTTCCTCCTCCAAGTGCGACGCTCAGATTTTCCTTAAGTTTTGCACACACGTCAGCTATCGACTAAATATCAATTCCTGAAAGTTTTAGCTCGCGCTTTGCGGGCGCCGCCGAGATATCGAACGATTTTTGCCGCCGAGAGAGCACACTAAACATGGAGACGGGCAGAGAGAAAACACCTTTTTGGCCATAACTTTGGCAGTTTCGTGCGGAAAAAATTGATTTTTTGCAGAAATATTATCCTTTACGGTGGAAATAGGCATGAAACTTTTCGTGCCGAAATTCGGCAAAAAGTCCTAAATTTTCGCCGACTTTCGATCTAAAAATCTCGGTTGTTTCTGCAAAGCGCGAGTTAGGATTCTCGCATATATCTTAGAAAAAAATATTCTAAATTTGTGCCAAGTTTCATCAAAATCTGAGCGTCGCACTTGGGGTACTTCCCCTGTAAGTTTCAAAGTAAAGGCCATTTGAATTGCAAGAATCAACGCTATTTTCCCAACTAGCTGATATTAATCAACCTTGCTCCACTGCGTCGGCATATTTCGACCAAATACGTGCTTTCCCTTGTTATATGACGTTACAGTATGCCTTTCAGCCGTACGCGACGCTTGCCATTTTGGCCAACCAATTCGTCCATCCCGTTGTTGTGTTTCCCTTTCTCCTCGTCTATTTTGTTGTGCGCATCTTTCGCAAATTGAACGAGGATGTGCACCGGACCTCAAGCGCCGGGATTCGGATCCAAAAACAGATTACAATGACGTTGACGGCGCAGGTAATTCTTGTTACCACCAATTGTTGCGTGGCCTTTGCTGTGTCTGCTCCTTGACAATATATCGTATTTTACATGTAATTGTAGAATGGGGTTTAGGAATTTGAGAATAATATTTGTCTGAATATATGTTGTAGTAAGTAGTAGGAACATTAGGAGTTTATGAAAATGCCAAATTGTAGTTGAGACCTCAAAGTTTAAGCTGACAGGGGAAGTACTCCAAGTGCGACGCTCAGATTTTGATGAAGCTTGGCACAAATTTAGAATAATTTTTTCTAAGATATATGCGAGAATCCTAGCTCGCGCTTTGCAGAAACAACCGAGATTTTTAGATCGAAAGTCGGCCAAAATTTAGGACTTTTTGCCGAATTTCGGCACGAAAAGTTTCATGCCTATTTCTACCGTAGAGTATAATATTTCTACAAAAAATCAAATTTTTCCGCACGAAACTGCCAAAGTTATGGCCAAAAAGCGCTTTTCTCTCTGACCGCTCTCCACGCTTAGCGTGCACTCTCGGCGGCAAAAATCGTTCAATATCTCGGCGGCGCTCGCAAAGCGCGAGCTAAAACTTTCAGTAATTGATATTTAGTCCATACCCGACGTGTGTGCAAAATTTAAAGAAAACCCGAGCATCGCACTTGGAGTACTTCCCCTGTTAGCCGGAAGTTGTAGTTGTCAGCAGAGCTTACTCTGTGGCCATCACAACTATAGTATTCTCATAGTAGCCTGTCGGGAAAATAATGTTGATTTGTCGCAACAAAATTTTTCTCAACTTACCACTTATTTGGACCAACCCCTTACACGTATTTTCAGTCAGTAGTTCCTCTACTTCTTGTCGCCATCCCTTTCTTCAACTCTTGCAACAAGTTTGCGTATGGTGGCGATAAAGAAGGAGCGATTCGAATCACCATGAACTCGGTGTGTCTTGTGGCCCTGGTCAACCCGATTGTCGCGAGTTTGATGGTGCAGAGCTATCGGCGGACGATCATGAGCACCGTCACGTTGGACCATTTGCAGCTGGACACGAGCCTGACCTCAACGACGCAACCCGCCGTCTCGGCGGGGATGGTGTCGCCGGTCGTCGCAATGTCCGTCAAGTTCTTCAAGATTTGAATACAGTCTTCGGCGCGCGCTCCTCCGGCGCGATATCTTGAACGAGTTTTGCCCGAGTAAGGCCAAGGAAGTGGCCCTACACATCGAACGATCCCTTATCAAATGGCGACACGAAAAAAGCGGCGACTCAGAGCTCAACTCAAGGAAGCCAAAACAGTGGAAATAAGCAAAAGAATTACTGTATTCCAAATTTATTTGTATGAAAATCTAATGTTATTTATCAACTTGGATCTCCATAAACATCATCCGAGTTGAGTCCATGAACAGGTTCAAGGGCTAGATCAAAAGCTGGCACCACGGGGACATCTCCATCGAGGAAAACTCGAGGTATGTATATCTCGTCATGAGAGCTCTAAATAAGGCAATTATAATAATCACGATCCTGTTAGAAGCAAAATTAATCAGAACAGTGCAAAAACTTGACAAAAGTTTACGAAATAGCCTTCCAAACCCGCAATTTACGCTTAAGAAACCAGTAAAAAAGTTCTAAAAGTCCATCCAAGTGCCCTTGGGTTATAGAATTTCCCTCAAATACACTCAAATTACAGTAAATCTCCAAATGAATCCAAATTTATCCCGAAAATCTCAAGAAATCCTCAACATAACCCATCCGTGCCCTCATTTCAACCATAACCTGCTAAAATACGGCCTAACATAAGCCTACCTATCAGTTCCAATTAATCAACGAGCATTCAGTTTCAGCGCACCATCGATCCGCAAATTTTCTCATCATTGAAATCGTCGGCTGGGATCGAATATCGCCGATTCTAGCTCCTCTCAAAAAGATTTCAGCCACCATATGCTTCTCATGACATTCACGGGAACGGGGGACTCCGATGATCACCTAAATTCCGAACAATCCAAAAACAAAACACAACTTACTTTTTCCATTTTGCCCATCATCTAGAACTCATTCTGCGGCAATTCGAATCAAATTTAGTCTCCAATGTTCAAAGCCTGAGGGTTTCAGCCATTCTTCCCAGGCGTAAAGGTCTTTGGAGAACTGCGAGTATCAGATAACTCTGAATCATCTAAAATTCCATATAAATTAAAAACTGCATCAAAATCTAAAGAAATCGGACAAAATTTGTCAAAAACTCACCCAAAAAATGTCATAAAATCCAGGAATCTTGTCCATACCCATCCTGATGTCTTCAAAATCTTAGAAAAAGGTCCGAAATCCTGATACGTTGCAAACAAAAACGTTCCAAAAAATCTAAAAAAATTTGAATGAAAATCTGAAAAAAAACGTCAAATTTTCCCACGAATTTTCACAAAAACCTCAAAATTTGCATATTAAAATTCGGCAAATTTTCGTTTGCATTTTGCTCATTTACCGGTTGAGAAATCCCTCCTGGTGTAACGCGTTCATCAACTTCAAAGAAGATGTCCTCATCGCCGTCCGCGTCCCGCGATCCCGTCACGAACACGACGAAGACCCCTTCTGCATCCACCGCCGCCGTCCCGGTGGGTGCAGTTGGGGTGGCCTCCGCCACCGCCGCCGTCCCGGTGGTCGGGGAAGGGCCGACGGGTGAGTTCAGTGGGCTTTTTTGGGGATTTTTGGGGTTTTCGGGATTTTTTTGGGTTTTTTTAAGATTTTAAGATTTAACAGTGGAAGTACTCCAAGTGCGACGCTCAGATTTTCTTTAAATTTTGCATACACGTCGGGTATGGACCAAATATCAATTCCTCAAAGTTTTAGCTCGCGCTTTGCTGGCGCCGCCGAGATATCGAACGATTTTTTGCTGCCGAGAGAGCACGCTAAACGTGGAGAGCGGGCAGAGAGAAAACACCTTTTTGGCCATAACTTTGGCAGTTTCGTGCGGAAAAATTTGATTTTTTGTAGAAACATTATCCTTTATGGTAGAAATAGGCAAGAAACTTTTCGTGCCGAAATTCGACAAAAAGTCCTAAATTTTGGCCGACTTTCGATCCAAAAATCTCGGTTGTTTCTGCAAAGCGCGAGCTAAGAATCTTGAATATATCTCAAAAAAAATTATTCCAAATTTGTGCCAATTTTCATCAAAATATGAGCGTCGCACTTGGAGTACTTCCCCTATAAGATGACTTACATAAGCTTAGGGGAAAAATATAAAAATTATAAATAATTCAGTCATTTGTCTAGTTGGGGCTTCGGTAGTTGAGCCCCCCACGAAAGGTAGTTCAAACCCCCACTGTTTTGCCCGTTTCACACCCCACATAATGAACAAATTAGAATAATACAAAAAATGTAAGTGGGGGTTTGATCTACTACGTTGGGGGTTTGATCTAAAACGTATGGGGCTTTATTTAAAACGTAGGGGGCTTCATCTAAAACGTAGGGGGCTTCATCTAAAACGTAGGGGGCTTCATCTAAAATGTAGGGGGCTTGTGCTGGACCATACAACTTGGATTACTTCTTTGAAATAAATTTTGGGGTTCAGAATGGACGAGGGGGGTTGTACTGGGCCATGGGGGGCTAAACTGGACTGGGGGGCTGTACTACCTTAGCCCCGTCTAGTTGAATATAATTTTGAAATAAAAAACTAAAAAAACGACCTCAAAAACTTGATTTCGAGCTCAACTTGAGAGAGCTGACTAACATTTGCAACTCGAAATCACCTTGTATATACTTTGTAAACCGTAAAATAACTTTCGGCTGGTGGGTTACTACCGTAAACCCCGCCAAAAATGATAATATAAAAAGGCCTAAGGGCCTTGAAAATAGACTATGAGGCCTTGAAGAGCAAGGAAAAATATTGCACAAAAAGGGCAATTTGGCTGGTGGGGGGACCCTGTAAATCCCGCCGAAAACAATTTTTATACTGTAAAATCCGGCCGAAATTGGCCTTGACATTACGTATACGGCTTGATGGATCAATTCCCGCCCCATTTAAGCCCTAACAGCTCGGTAAGTCAAATTTTTTTGAGTTTTACAGAGTTTAGAGGCCTCATGGAGAAGATGCCAGAGGGATAAATTTTGATCGAAAGGGTAGATCTCGGGAATTTTTTGAGATGGATTTCTGTATTTTACACAGAATTATGAAAAATTCCGTACCAAAAACGTAATCGAAACCATTTTTGCAAAAAAACAGTTTTGGAAAAAAATCCTTTCGCTTTTTTGACACCCCTTTAGGCAATAAAATAAAGCCAACAGCACTCATTAGCTATAAATTCCGAGCTTGCTTTTCATATAAATTTCGAAATTTCTCACTCAAATTTTGCTTTCTGACCAACATCCCAGCCCGCAGCCTCCCAGAATACCCATTATGATTGGGCTGACATCTCTCCAAGGTCCAAAAATGATGATCTGGATCGGTGGCCAGCACTTCAGTCCAGATCCAAGACGACATTCGGAAGGCAAAGATCTAAAATCCGTCAATTTTACATAATAGTCCATTTTTTGTGAAAATTGTCAAAAATCATCTCTTTTTAGAAGCCCCATTTTGTTTTCCAAATAACTCCAAAAATTTACCTTTCCCCAAAGATATTTGACGGATTTTCTAGAAATTTGTCATCCGAATGTCAGAATTGATGTCCAACGTTCAAAATTATGGCTTCAAACATCTTCATGCACCTCCAGAATCCCTCCAAGAGCCTAATCCCGGTCGAAGATGGATCATTTTTTTGATTGTGGCAGGTCCAGCGACTGATGGCATCACCTAAAATATTATTTATAATATAATTTACTGTATTCGTTATAAATTATTATCATACATCGTAACTTGGATTATTTTTGGAGACAAAAATCCCAAATAAAGAGTAAACTATTCATTTTCACGGCCAAAAATAGCCTTACTTTGTGTTTTCTCCAATTGCCATCGAACACCGTCTCCATTCTGATTCGTGGACCAGGTAACAATTTTATTTTTGCTTTCTTCGCCTTTTCAGTTTCGTCAAGGTATTCCAAGATAATTCAAAACTCGATGGGTCCGTCCCTGTCAAGAGTCCATTTCCAATTCCGTTGGCGCCCTGAAACTTGAACCATTACAATTGGATATTCGAATTCTTTCATAAATTCTAATTGTATAAATCATAACAATAAATACTTACACCATTTTATACTCTCTCTTGTTACTTATAACGGGGTTTTCACTGTGAGACACCACCTGATAACACGATGAACTTCCTGGACCTTCTACTTTGGATCAATTCAATCACTGGGCTGAATGCTGAAGAACAACATCTACTGGACCATGTCGACGATCATCACTTAGGTTTAGGGTCGCATTAGACTATTTCCAAGGGGTGGGGAGCTCGTCTCGTCCATGGATGGACGTTATTGATGGTGTTCTTGGCAACTGTCCTCGTTTTCTTGTCAAAACCTTGTTGAAAGACCTCTTGATGTGCTCTGTGATTTTCTCCAGGTGGACTTGACTTCTCGTCGTTCAGGCTCGTCGAATTTTCGGTTGCGTGTCGCGTGGACCTTTTCAGAGAATTCCAATCAATCAACAAATACATCTTCAGGATAACAAAAAGGGACGCCAAGGCACCTACCTTCGCCATGATCACTTCGAATCAGCTCCATCTTCAGTTCAACCACCAGTGTATTAATTCTACCATCCATTAATTCCATCTCATCAACATCTTCACCATCAAATTCGTTTTTACATCCGACCCCGTCTCCAATTGGAATTTTCAATGTTCGCCACAAATTTTGGATTAGCAACCTTTAGCAATGATTTGTTTGGCCTGGAGATTATTCGTGACATCAATATCATGTTGGGAGTGATCCAATGAATATCTGAAATGAAGCATTTAGAAGACCGATACAAGGAGAAAACAGAAATTTTAGACGTTTTCGCCCCCATTTGACCCCTGGACTCACCTTATTTTAGCTGAAGTTGAACATCAGCATACCAATCTGACCATTTTCATCTCCATGAATCCAATCCAGCACCCGTTTTCCATGATTTCCACGTCGAAATGGCCCCAAATCACCCAGAACTTGTCCACCTGCACCTGATCTTCACCAATCGAGGACCAATCATTATCTTGGTTCGGACCACCACCTTTAATTTGGTTCCATCTCATCTTCTGGAGTCCTTTTGAAGGTTCTCCTTGTTCCACGTTGTCGTTTGATCCGATCTTCGGGTCATTCAGTGTTCTACGGCTTTCGAGCCGCTGTGCTGTCGCTTTCCTGATCACCACTTAAATACGCCTTCCGGTCGCCATCAACGAAAAAAATCAGCTCGGGTTTCTTGTCGGTATTATGGTTTTGTCACTGGACTTCAATGTGGATCGATTTTCGACATCTGTGGAATGTTTTCTGGAGAAATCACAAATTGCTCACAGGATCTTGATTCAAATATGGAGCCTTCGATCATCGTGGATTTTACCTTCAAGATTGTGGATCGTCATCATCTGGATCTCCGCCTAAAACCAAGAAGGATTACTTTAGAAAAAGGATAAAATTTTTGTGGGGAACATTAAGATAATATTAGAAAATAGGGACCTTAGGAATAGTTTTTTTTTTTAAATTTTGGGCCATACTTTTTCAATTTTTCGACTAATTTTGGTGATTTCAGTGCCTCCCAGCGCCGCCGGCCAGGCCTCTGGCCAAAACGTGGCCCGCACCGTTCAGGCCGAGCATCCGCCGGCGGTTGCGGGCTCCCCTCTGGGTGCCCATCACTTCGGCGTCCCAGAGGGAGAGGTCGGACTTAGCATTGCTAGTCCGACCTCGTTCAGCCCGGCGTATTCGAGGTCGCCCGAATACAGCACGGGCAACTCGACCCTCCACGGCGTCCCGTCGATTCCGTCCTACGAGGAATATGACGCCTATCGGGCGATGATGGCGGAGAAGACGCCGGAGCCCGTGGATGAAGAGAAGGCCAAGCTTCGGGCGAAGATGGAAGAACTCATAGAAGAAAACCGGCAACTCCTCAGACAAGCCGATGACATGAGAAAAAAAAAGGAGATGACAGAACTCCTTTGGACGTCAGAAATGGAAAGGGCCAACAAGGCCGAAGCCGACCTGGAGGCCGCTCAGAAGGCCATTTTCGAAATGAAAACGAAAGAATACCGAGCTGGAAGAAAGCTCGAAGAGGCCATAAGAGCCAAAGATGAGGCTCTAATCGAATTGGAGAGGGAAAAGGAAGAAACATCCCGTCTCAAGCAGCGACTCACCGACCACTTGAAGAAAGCCGAAGCCGATGCCAGACCTCCACGAACTCACCGTTCAAGAAGTCCGTTGACACGAACGGCGCCTTCGTCTTCGCCGACGCCTGACGTCGAGCCTCCCGCAGAAGTCGTCTCGCCCCCAGTCGAGGATCAGGTCTCGGAAGGCCATGAAGAACCAGGACCACAACATGAGGCCCCGGGACCCCTGCGAAGGATGCCCAAATGCAGGAGGCGGTGCTGTTACCAGCCGCCGCCTCCTGCACCTCAAGCTGTTCCTCGGCCTCCCCGAAGATCCAGGGAGGTCGAACAACTCGGCCCGATCATCGAGGAAGTCGTTGAAGAACGTCCGAGGAGGAGAAGCCGTCAGCCTCCAGCCCGGCTCGTCGTCGACATGGCACGCCGAAGCTATGCGGCGATAAGGAGCTCAATAATGCCTCGTAAGTTTATTGGCTCTTGTTTTTTTCTTTTTAGGCCAAAACCCTAGAAATAAACATGAGGTGTTTTTTGAAGAAAAAAGATCCATATATAATTCTCAATAATATCTGTTTTTTTCAGGCAGAAGAGCTCAAGTCCGGACGGATGATGCTCCGTGGTTCCTTGGATAAGGTGGAACCGAATAAGGTAAGTTGTTTTGGGAACTGTTTGGCCTTGATTTAGGCTAAAGTAATATACTTTACTATCTTCAGACGAAGGCCGGTCTGGACCAGCGTGGAGAAGTGGATCCGGCACCCGTGCCCCCTGAATCAGTCCGGGGGGCCTCTGGAATAAGAAAAAAGGGTGCCCATCCACTTGTTATGGTCAAGATTGGGGATTTTGGACTATAATAAGGTAAGTTATCATGCTGAATTTATATTTATTCCTTATCTTTTTCAGAAATCCCTGAAAAAGACGAACTGATGGAAAGGTGGAGCACTCTGGCCTCCCGAATGAGCCCGGGGGGCCATTGGACTGTGAAAAAGGGTGCCCACCTTTCTTTACGATCCCTCGTGTGGACGTTTTGGTCGACCGGAACGCCCCGGCCCCTCACTTCATCCGGGGGGCCTCTGGAAACCTTACGGGTGCTCGGTTAGACCAAACAGGGTAAGATTTTATTGTTTTGGGAGCTTTCTGACTTTTATTTGGGCTAGAGCAATATAATCTTCCTATTTTCAGATGAAGGCCAGTCCAAACCGAAGTGGACCTGGAACCCTCGCCCCCTGAATTAGTCCGGGGGTTTTTGGACAAAAAAGAGGCGAACCAATCAACAGAAATTGAGGTAAGCAAGATACTCATGCCTAGGAATTTCGCGCGATGTTGTACTAAGCACAAGCTCTGGACGGGGATGGTCAGAATGGGCCGGAAGCGTGAATTTTTTGGATTAATTTTGCGTTACACAACCTTAACGATTTTATGTCGCAATAGCTCCATGTCCCAACGAAATAGCACCAAAATCGAAACGTTTTTCGATAAATTGTTACCTAAATTAATATAAAAGTATTCTGGAGGCAGAAGGACAACAATATATGAACTGCTGCCGTCGAGGATACTAAAATACGCTCAGAAAAGTGGCGTCTAACCCGAATAGATGTATTATAGACACAAATGTGATAAATATTGCCTAAATAAATCAAATCCCTTAAAAATTTAGCTAAAGACGAGATTTTTCGGAGCGGAGTAGGGCAAAAATTTGCACTGTCCTGCAGAAAGGTCTCATAAACAAATCTGATTAAGCCTTTTTCCCCAAATTTAGACTAAAATGTCGCTTCCGGGTCGATTCTTCACCGCATGGCCGACACCTAAATTTCGAAAGAACGAAAAAACAAAAAAACACTTACGTATATCCAAGAGATACCTTTCATCACCTAAAGCAACCTTTTCTCCAACTTCTGAAGCCATCCTCTTATTTTTACACCTTCTGCAAAAACGGAAATTTGTTTTTGGGAAGAAATATTTTTGTCAAAATCTCGAGTTGCGCCCGAGACTTTTGTAAATCTTGGTGCTATATGATACGAAAGAACTTGGAAAAGAATTTTTTAAAAGCCGGTTTAGGTTTAGATTGCATCTGGGGCAAAAATTTTAGTTTTTTGAGGTCCACACGTTTTTATTATTATTTATAAGCAAGAAACTATACAATTGTTCTAAAAATAGCTTTTTATAATTTTTATTGTAAGTTGCCTAATTTTTGTCCTGAGGCTCTGGCGTTTGCTGCTCATTCTCGTCGATTTTCCAACCTACAGCGCGGAAATTTTCTCAAAAACTAGTGCAGCTGATGTTTTACTTGACATCAAGAGTGTTCTAAAAATGCAATAAATTCGATCCCGACATAACAGCTAACATAACATTATCTCCTCTTTTTCAGACTCTTACATCAACACGAGCTCAATTGTTCACCGGATCAATGTTTGCTAAGATCCGAGCCAACTTTGATGCCATAGTTTAAATCAACCATTCGGACCCAAATCGAGGTAAGTATTCTTTTTTGTGCTATTTTTTGACATTTAGGTAACAAATTTTGGGATTTGTTATATTGGACTTCAGCATTCGCTGAGTTGGGCTGGGAGTTAAAAAACCCTTTATTATTTTGGTTGTTTTTTCTTTATAAAGAATTGCCGGAAGCGATGGGTTAAATTTATCCTGATTTATTGTAGCTTTCGGGTGCTGGCCTGATATTATATTAGGTATGAAGTCTTCAAAAAGTCTAAAAAAGGATAATTTATATTTTATATTTATATTTTATCTATTTTTTCAGAATTACGCCAAAATGGTCTCGATTTTGAGCAACCTCAGATGATCCTTTACCGCTGAGGAGTCCGAACGGAAGTGGATTGGTGCTCCAACCCTTGAAAATGAAGTAAGTTTATGTTTCTTTTGGTTTTTTGCTGTTTAGATCCGGATTTTGGCGGCATGCATGTGATCGCATGCACCGTGCAAGTGCAACATCGCAGCGGCGCAAACTTTTCTCGACGGAACCGGCGTGAATTTTGGGCGCACGAAATGAAATTGCACAGTGCGAACTGTTTCGAAAAGGATCGAAAAATTTCGACGAAATTGCATTGCGCGACGCGAAAAAATAGGTTGAAAAGAGTCTACGCACTTTCTGGAACTGCTAGTACTACACGCGCTCAAAACTAAGCATGGCTGCAAACCGGGCCAGCCCGGGCCCGAGCTTTGCAAATTTGGAAAGCCCGGCCCGGTTCGGCCCGGAAAATTTTTATACTTGGTTGGAAGGAAAAAAACGGGTAATGAAAGGAAAATTATGACAAATTTTCGCAAAATGTAAAGAAGAATTTAGCAAAACCTAAGCATAGTGCAATTGCCGCTGGATTATTTATATAAATTACTAAGTCGCCATAAATTGTCTTACCATATGGTTACAAAAAATCATAAACTTTTGTGTATAGTCACCAAAATTTTAGCAAAAATATTTTTATCACAGATCTTTTATTGGATCTGAAAAAAGCTACGCTGCTATTGCGTATTTTTGAAAAATTTTCCGGTTTCTTTTTTTGCCATTAACTATGAGGTCGCACTTTAGAATTTCTGACAAGGAAAGTTCTATGGGATATGGAGTTACCGGTCGAGACATACATCAAAAAAATCGCAAATTTTTTCTGATTCAGAATATGCAAAAATTAGCTGCCTAATTTTGATTTGTAAGGGTGAAAAAAATCCTCAGAACTTTTCTCGCAACACCACGCAAGTTTTCCAAATCAAAATGCTTGTTTTTGAGCTAGAGTAAATCCTGGTATCGTCACAAGCCTTAAAATATCAAATTTTATCTCTACTACGCGTTAATTAGTAGTTGCAATATTAAAAAGGGGCATTTTCGTGGTGTTGCGAGAAAAGTTCTGATGATTTTTTCACCCTTACAAACCAAAATTAGGCAACTAACTCCTACATATTCTAAACCAGAAAAATTTTGCTATTTTTTTGATATATGACTCCACCTGTAACTCCATGCCCCATAGAAGTACTTTCCTCGTGAAATTTTTTTCAAATTGACTTGAAAATTATTCTTTTATTTGGGCGAGTGGTAAATTATGTCAAAAAAGCTTATTTTTGACCTTTTTCCGGGCAAAACTCAGATTTCAAAAAAAAAAGCCGGGCCGGCCCGGGCCTAAAAATCGAAGCCCGGCGTCGGGCCGAGAAATTAGTCGGCCCGGCCCGGAGTCATGCCTACACAAAAGTCCTGACAATTTGCGCACCGCACCGTTCATCCTTCCTTCATTTTCATCAGCATTTGTTGCCGCAATTTCCCGTTTTTGCACTAGCGACCTGCATTTTTGCGCGCGACAACCTCGAATTTGCGGGCGCGATGTCCAAAACCCGAACTTTCCCACGGTGCGAAAATTGTCAGGACTTTTGAGCGCGCGTAGTGTTTTACTGTAGCCCTTTTCGAAAATGGAGAAATCTGTTTTTCGACCTTCCCTATTTCTTCCTTGTCTCTTTGGCGGACATTTTTATACGTTCCTTTTTCAGACTCTTGCGCTAAGATGAGCGCGTTTGCTCCCATTGGATCATTCGCTTCCCTAATGGACAGATCTATGCTTTCAAGCGCCAAGTGGACAAAGATTGAAAGGAAAAAGAAAAAAAAGCCAAGAAAAGGCAAAAAAAAGAATAAAAGTAAAAAAAAAATAAAAATATAAAAAAGAGGAAAAAAAGGCAAAAAAAGAAAAAGTAAAAAAAAGAAAAAGGGCAAAAAAAATAAGAAAGCCAAAAAAAGAAAAAAATAAAAAAGAATAAGAAAAAAAAAAGAATAAGAAAAAAAAATTAAAAAAAAAAGAAAAAAAAACGTAAATTAATTAAAGCCTAAAAAATAAGAAGGCAAAAAAAATACAAGAATTTTGTATGCTCTCCGTCGCCGCTAATCATCCCAAAAAATTAGCTCCAACTTATATCACAATGGATTCTTAGTGGGACCTGATCATGTAGGTTATCTTTTCGGCTTGTATTTTACCTTGCTTTAGTTTAAAATTATGTAATTTGGATTTTATTTTCAGTATTTTTGGAAATCTTTGTGTCCCGAGACGGAACCTACGAATTTTTCCCTTTCCGACCAAGCAGCCAGAAGAACTCGAGACTTCGGATCAACATGGATTCAAGAAAGAGCATGGTCAATACGAAGCAGTGAATGTAAAATGTAAGTTTTGGTTAGATTATGGAATGTAGAGGACCTTCGACATGTTTTTATAATACAGGGTGTCCAGAGAAATTCCGCGGAAAGTTTTTGTCGATTTCTGGGCGCTAAATCAAGATATCCAAACAATTCTTTTTGCATCGTAAAGATGAAGAATTTCTTCAAACACCCTGTGTTAGCATTCGTGTTTTGACGTTTTCTTTATTTATTTTTATTTTCCAGACGTTTTCGATACCAACACCCATTATTTTGACCCCATTTGGAAGTTCCCCCACTGCCAATTGTATGAAAAAAGAAGAAAAAAGCCAAAAAAATAGAAAAAAAAATTAAAAAATATAGAAGGCTAAAAAAATGAAAATAAAAAAATGAGAATTGTTAAAAAGCCAAAAAAAAGTCTTAATTAATTTAAAAAAGAAAAAAATCTTATACTCTTATATTGAAAAAAGAAAAATAAAAAAAGAAAAAAAGAAAAAAAAAAAGAAAAAAGGCTAGAAAATAAAAAAAGATAAGATAAAAGCCTAAAAAAAAAGAATGTAAAACAAAGACCCAACTCCATCTTCACCTTTCGCTCTCCACTCCCACCACCTCCTTATCAACATGGAATTCAAGGAGTCCGTGGTCAATATGAAGCAGTGAATATAAAATGTAAGTTTTGGTTAGATTGTGGAATGTAGAGGACCTTAGACATGTTTTTATAATATAATATTAGCATTACGTTTTATTTATTTGTTTTTTATTTTCAGATATTTGTTGATCACCAAGGCACATTGTTTTCAACCCATTTGGAAGTTCCTGCAAGATCCAAGGCCATTTTTATGCAAAAAGGACATGGAAAAAGAAGAAAAAAGCCAAAAAAATAGAAAAAAAGGAAAAAGAAAAAAGGGCAAAAAAATAAAAAAAAAAGGTAAAGAAGGCTAAAAATGAGAATAAAAAATAATGAGAATCGTGAAAAAGCCAAAAAAAAGCCTATATTTTTGTGTTTAAAAAAAATAAAAAAAAAGAAAAGAAAAAAGGCTAGAAAATAAAAAAAAGATACGATAAAAGCCTAAAAAATAAAAAGAGTTTAAAAAAAGCTCCAACTCTATCTTCACCGTTCTCTCTCCACTCCCACCACCTCCTTTCCTCCCTCCTCTCTCCCTTCCCCCCACCTCCCCCAATCATCAGAGGATTCTTTGATGATTAAAGTAAGCTTTTTTATCACTTTTGTAGTTTTTTTCTTCCTTTTGAGTTCAGATGCTGCTCATTCTATTTTTAATACCTTTATTTTCATGGAACCCGTCGAAAGTCAGACCTTTGGTGCCTTGGCGAAGATGGAGAAATCAATGTTATCCGGGAGGACATCGTCGAATGGGAGAATCAGGTGAGTTGGGAGGAATAAATGTGGAAAACCGAGATGTAGAAGGGATACTAGGAGCTGTTTAGTCGAGAAGAGTTTGGTTTTGTGAAAGGCCCGCCATTACGACATATTTTCTGAAATGTTGCGGTAGGGATGACTATTTTTCTTAAAATTATGTTTTTTCGGGTTAAAAATGGATTTGACTTACAGCGGAAGTACCCCAAGTGCGACGCTCCGATTTTCTTTAAATTTTGAACACACGTCGGCCATAGATTAGATATCAATTCCTGAAATTTTTAGCGCGCTTTGTGGGTGCATGTTGAACGACCTTTGCCACCGAGAGAGCTGACTAAACGTGGAGAGCGGTCAAAGAGAAAAGCACTTTTTGGCCGTAACTTCGCTAGTTTCGCGCGGAAAAAATTCATTTTTTGTGGAAACATTACCCTCTGCGGTAGAAATAGGCACGAAACTTTTTGTGCCGAAATTCGGCAAAAAGTCTAAAATTTTTGCCGACTTTTGATCTGAAAATCTCGGCTGTTTTTGCCAAGCGCGATCTGGAATTCTCGCATATATTTTAGAAAAAATTGTTCTAAATTTGTGCCAAGTTTCATCAAAATCTGAGCGTCGCACTTGGGGTACTTTCCCTGTGGGCTGGTCCTGCTCGGTAAGTTCCCGGAATCCGGCGGCCGGGTGTTCGAGGGAAGCATGGCTGCAAACCGGGCCGCAGGCCCGTGCTTGAATCTCCAAGCCCGGCCCGGGCCCGGGCTTGGAAAATTTGGAAAGCCCGGCCCGGTTCAGCCCGCAAAATTTTTACACTAGGTTGGAAAGAAAGAAAGCGGGAAATGAAAGGAAAATTATGGCAAATTTTCGCAAAATGTAAAGAAAGATTTACCAAAACCTAGGTACATAAGGTCACTTTACGTTCGCTGTCAGCATTGTGTTCGAAAAAATGAAAAATTCTATCGAAAAAGCATATTTTTCTGGGCAAAACGTAGGTTTCAAAAACACCGGGCCGGCCCTGGCTGGGCCGGGCCTAAAAATCGAAGCCCGGAGTCGGGCCAAGAAATTAGTCGGCCCGGCCCGGGCCGGAAAATTTTGCAAAGCCCGGCCCGGAGCCATGTCTAGTTTGAGGGACGTGTGGAGTTTGGAGTACTAGTCGTTCCTGAAAGTGCGTGGACCTTTCGTCGCAAATTTTGCGCACTGTGCGTTTGACCTTTTACAATGTGCATTTCGAAAAGCTTGCGACGTAGGCTTTTTTTTCAACTGCTTCGCATTTTGGGCGCGTGGCCACAATTGCACGCTGCAAAAAGAAAAAAATGCCCTGTGCGCCGCGAAAAAATGTCTACGCACTTCCTGTAGCGACCCGTGGTACTACGCACGCTCAAAAGTCCTGACAGTTTTCGCACCGCTTCGGCTGAACCACCCTGTAGATTGCCAAATTCGTCGTGGCGGATTTTTTAGCTCTCTGGTGTAATATCTGATCGTTTTGAGGACTTGATTATGAAAGATTTGTAGGGGCTTTATATTGTTGATGAGATAGTCAAATTCCGTTTTCAAGTTTTTCCATTTGTAAAACATTTCTTCCAGGTCGCCCGTCCAAGTTCGTATATGAATGAAGGATTGAAGAAATTTGAGTGTGGAGCGGTGGAAATCAAGAACAAAATCATCGCCGTCATCATCACCACCAGCGCCGAGGAGGCCCGAAAAGACAACAAAGTGCGTTTTTTAGGTATCAAACCGAAGAAAATTCGGAAAAAATCAAATTTTTCGACAAAATTTTGACTTGAAATTGTAAAATACGCTTTCCTCAAAGTATGTTGCATATTTTCAGTACTCGTTTGACCTGAATTGGTGGCAGGAAACACCGGATAACCTCGATGTTTGCAAAGGAAATGAGACGGACCTGGGTGGAGAAATTATCCCTGCCAAATACTCATCCACATACTGCCCACACGACCTCTCGAAATGCGAGAAACGCGAAAAGAATGAGAGCTATTACATCCAAGGACAGGTAAGAGATGAATTTGATGAAAATGGGGTCTAGTATGATATATTGTTTGCTTGTTTTGATGGAGATTTTGGTTTTTATAGAAAGTAGGAGGGCTGATTTGATATTCTAGAGAAAAAATTTTGGGTTTGAGATTGAAAAACATGTAATTTTGATCAATTTTTGTCTAGTGTAATATAATTTTTGTCAAATTTGAAGGAGATTTTGATTGTTATGGAAAGTATGATAGCTGTTTTGATAACCTAGAGAAAAAAATGTGAATTTGAGATTGGGAAAACGTGCAATTTTGAAGAGTTTTTGTCTAGGGTAATATAATTTTTGTCAAATTTGATGGAAATTTGGGTTGGAAGAGAAAGTTTGAGGGCTGATTTGATAACCGAGAGAGAAAGCCGTGGGTTGGAAGTCAAAAATCTCGTATTTTTGTGCGGTTTTTATCTAGTGTAATATAAATTTTGTCAAATTTGATGTAAATTTTGTTTGAATTTGGTATAATGGTCCCGCATTCGAGCTTAGATTGGAAAATTTGTCAGTTGAAACTTGAAAAAAAGGGAATCTTGCTATTTTTGCCTGGTGTAATATCCAAAATTTGAAGAATGCGATTATTTAAGTGTTTATTTGTATGCAGAGTGTATATTTTTGATGGAACGGTTTTTTTAAGAGATTTTTTAAATGTAGGCCAAATTTATTCGGTCGTATTTTACCCAAAAATTACCTAAAAATCGTTTCAGGTTCGAGCCATCAAGGAAGCGGGCGCCGCCGCCGCCCTTTTCATCCTCGAGCTAGAGGCCTCGAGAAAGGGACTCCGAGCGATTTCCACGGCAAAAACTCCTGCTTGCACTGGCGGTGGGCTGCATTTTGTTGGGATGCGTTTGGTTGGTCGAGAAGGGCAAAGTAATGTAAATTTTGGGAAAGTTTTGGGGTAATGATGAGTTGTGAGGGCTAGAAAGATGTACTAAGAATTTTTGGGAGTGATGAGATGTATTTTTCAAGGTTTTGAGGGTATAATTCTCGGAATTTTGATTTTTTTAGGCTAGAAGGTCATGGATAATATAAATTTTGATGATTTTGATGAGATTTTGAATTATTTTTTTGGAGATGATGGTTCAGGAAGACAGAGAATGCTTTTTTGCAAGATATTAGGTAATAAAATTCATGAAATTTTGCTCTTTTTTGACTTACATCCAGGTCATGGATAATATAAATTTTGATGATTTTTTAATTATTTTTTTTCGAGATTATTGTTCAGAAAGGCAGAGAATACAGGGTGGGGCATCTTTGTGGCCCGATTTGAATTGGCTATAACTTCTTTAGTTTTTGGCCAAATTTTAAAATTCTTTTTTCCCCTGAATCGTCAGCCAACCCCATTTTGTTTGATACCAAATATGTTATACATAGTAAGTGTATATCTAAAGTTATTGGATTTATTCTTGGAGTTCATTTTTTCGGTCGTTTTTCGGTTGTTTTTTCGGTCTTTCCCGGTTTGTCCAGAAATGGAGTACGGTCCGGAAGAAAAATACGGTGGAATTTCCCCTCCCGAAAATCGACGATGACAATAAGAACAAAAAGTGAAGATCAACTTCCAGAGTTCGTCGAATGGTCCTTGCTGAAGGCATTCCCTCGGTTCTGGCCAAACTTCGTGTACTCATATGCGGATTTTCTCGGAATTTTGACAAAACTTCTTCCATTTTTAGCTACGTTCGTACTCATCTTTCCTGCTTTTTTTGTTTCCTGTTAACGCTGCCAGTCTCAAGGAACTTATTCCACGAACGTCGAATGTCTTGCGATCTGGAGGTTAGGCATTACGTCCGTATTTCATGCGGTATCCCCATTTGAAAATTTAGCGCCGAACCGTACTTGCTCTACCAAACCACAGACCAAGCCTTTTCTTCCACACCGGACTCCATTTTCGGACACACCGGGAAAGACCGAAAAAACAACCGAAAACGACCAAAAAAATGAACTCCAAGAATAAATCCAATAACTGTAGATGACACTCACCTATGTATAACATCTTTGGTATCAAACAAAATGGGGTTGGCTGACGATTCAGGGAAAAAAAGAATTTAAAATTTGGCCAAAAATTAAAGAAGTTATAGTCAATTCAAATCGGGCCACAAAGATGCCCCACCCTGTACTTTTTACAAAGTTTTTTACAAGAAGGTGAATAATCAAATTTATGAAAATTTGCTTTTTTTGACCTATACCGGTCAAGTGTAGTCTAAATTTTGATGAAATTTGAGGGTTTTTATCAAGGCTGATGATTGGAATAGAAGTTTTGGTACAATGGTCGTATGCTTTAACGTATTTTACAAAATTGAGTGGAAAAATTTGGCGACAAAATGTGTTTTTTATCTTAAGGTCATGGATAATATAAATTTTGAAAAAATCCTTATTTTTTCAATTTTTTTTGGTGGAAAGTTTGCCATGGTAGAGTCAGAAATGATGTCTGTGGTACAATCGAAGTTCTTCTAATCTCCATTTTCTTACAGATTCCGTCAAGTCCCATAAAACCTGTCCAGGCAACTTTCCAGCCGAGAAGAAGAAGAATCTACGATTTTAATTTGATCTATTTGTTTCTTTTTTATTTTATCTTGCTTGCTTTGAAAGGGGAAGGGGAAATGGGAGAAAGGGGCGGAGAAGGTAAGTAATCGGAATTGGGCTGTTGCTGTAGGTGGGCAGCCTAGGACGAAATTTTTATTCCTGGGCCGGTAGAGAGCGTATATCTTAGAGATTGATGGTTTGGTCTGGAAGTGGGGGGCGCTACCGCCTTTCGGGTCAGGGACAGTTCGGGTCACGACAGGTCGGGTCAACGATACCGTTTAATATTTTTGCTTCGGGACTTGGGAAAAAGGATTTTTTGGAGAATTGGAACAAAATTTTGAACTGTTTTTGGTTCGGGACTGGCGAAAACGGATTTTCTGGAGAATTGAGGTTTATTTTCGAATTTTTTTAGGAAAGTGGTGTCTTTAAGCGACGAGCAAATAAGAAAATCGTATCCATTGTTTAGGTTTTTTAACTGAAAGCACGGGATTTAATCCCGAAGCGAAAACAGTTCAAAATTTTGTTCCAATTCTCCAAAAAGTCCTTTTTCCCAAGTCCCGAAGCAAAAATATAAAAAGTTATCGTCGACCCGACCTGTCGTGACCCGAATTGTCCCTGACCGAAACGCCGTGGCGCTCTCACTTCCAGACTAAACAATCAATCTCTAAGATATACGCTCTCTACCGGCCCAGTAATAAAAATTTCGTCCTAGGTTGCCCACCTACAGCAACAGCATCATTCAGCCCGATTCCGATTACTTTATGCGGAAGTGAGGGGTACCTAGAATTCTTTTAGTTTTTGGCTCTGAAAGGCGTTGAATTATGGCTCGACCGAATTACTTATATCCTCTGGGACATTGGGCATTTCCGACCTAGGAGACTGGCATCGTGGAAGGGTAGGATGCATACGTACGAGGGGAATAGGGCCAGGAAGAACAGTTGGGTTAGTGAGGGTTGTTTATCCTTCCTTTGTTCGGCCGTAAAAGCGCCATTTTTCATCGGTATTGTATTGTTTGAAACGTGTATTGATTTCCCGAAAATGGGAAATCAGTCAAGGGAAGTACCCCCAAGTGTCACGCTCAGATTTTTTTAAATTTTGCACACACGTCGGCTATAGATTAGATATCAATTCCTGAAAGTCTTAGCTCACGCTTTGCGAAAGCCACCGAGATATTGAACGATTTTTGCCAGCGCGAGAGCACACTAAACGTGGAGAGCGGTCAAAGAGAAAAACACTTTTTGGCCGTAACTTCGGTAGTTTTGCGCGGAAAAAATTGATTTTTTGTGGAAAAATTACCCTCTATGGTAGAAATCGGCATGAAACTTTTCGTGCCGCAATTCGGCAAAAAGTCCTAAATTTTCGCCGGTATTCGATCTAAAAATCTCGGTAGTTTCTGCAGAACGCGAGCTAGGATTCTCGCATATATCCTAGAAAAAAATATTCTAAATCTGTGCCAAGTTTCACCAAAATCTGAGCGTCGCACGTGGGGTACTTTCCCTGCGAGCTGGTCCTGGTCGGTAAGTTCTGGGAATCCGGCGGCCTGGTGTTCGAGGGCCCTTCAATCGTCGTTTGATTGTCCTGTTTTTTCTTCTGCGGCTCCGGTTTTTTCGCCTCCTCGACGCTAATCAATTTACCTGACCTTTTCGGCATTGGGGGGACTCTTGGATTAAGTGATTCCACAGAGAAGAAGGTGGCCGGTTTTTTGTCCGGAAAAATCATTTTCTCCGCCAACGCGGAAAGTAGCGTATTCGGCGGACACTTTTTCGGATCATCACACCAATTTTAAACGCTTTATTATGAATTTTGATGATTGAGAAAGGTATTTGCATGTTTTTAAGTTTTCCAAGTGTTCGACGAAGGTATGGCCGACTTTTTTGCCTTGCTGTTTCAAATCTCCGCATGGTGCGCTCGGACTTTACCGGTGTTGCAGCGACAGGCTGCAGCGTGCAGTCGCTAATTTGGACTGCAAAGCAATGTCGCTGTCTGTCCGGTCCACTGTGTCAAAGATTTGAAGACTTCGGAAGTTTTGGAATCATAATAAAGCGTTTAAGATTGGTGCGATGACCAAAAAATCGATCAAGAGTCTCTGCCGAATACACTGCTTTCCGCGCTAGCGGAGATTCTCGGAACACCCTGTATAAAAAACCAACCTCTAAAGTTCTGAAAAACATAATCAAGAAGTCCCTTGCCAGTTGACATCCTTTGCAGACTCCCACCGAATCCATTCCGCTTGAAACAATGGCCGCGGTGAAGAAAACCTGCGATAAAATCCTCTGTTCGGCCGAAGGACAGAGTGATGAAAAAAGCACCCATCGAGTACTGATGCAAGAATAATCACTTGGCCGTTGTCACCAAGGTATGGAATATTATCACTGAATGGTCCCACAATAAACTTGACAACGATCGAGATAACGAAGGGAAAAGCGGCCGAAAATCCCGTATTCTGAATGTGCAGACCTTGGACCTGACGCACAACGAACAGAAAAAAATTAAACTTTAACTGGGGAATCTGATCAGGGAGTGTTGTAAAGACTTAATCAAAGATCAAAAATACCAAATCTTATCAAAATCGGTCTACGAAAAAGGTAGTAGCGATGTTACAACTGAAGGTCAAGACCTACAAGTAAACCGTTGTGCGTCCTAGCAACTTTGCTGATCATTTATTTGTACCGATTTGGTCATAAAATAGCTTTTTCTACGATTACACATATCTGAAATTTCAATTTGGCGCTTCGGACTGATATTAACCATGTCATACATGACAAAATTAAAGTCAAATTTTTTTACGGATTTGACCCAATTATTCTGTAAAATGGGTAAACAAGAGCCGCAGTTGACGAAACTCTCCCTCTTCCCTTGTCTAAAGGCCCCAAAACCTCATTTTTCACAAGTCCAGAACTGCACATCTTCTCCTCCAAGAATTCCGCGAACGAGGTTGGTAAAATCTCTCTATTTGCTCCTGTTTTATAACTAATATACTTTTAAAACTGCTCACTGTTCCATTCCGGGAGCTGCTGAGGCGCTTCCTCGGCTGGATGTTGATCTTGATCTGGAAATATATCAGACGACAGGGTTTTCAGATAATACATTGGCCAAATTTTACCTGATTTAAATCGACCGGACCATACTGATAGAAGAACTGGAAACACAAAGATGCTCCGGAACAACAATACCAGGATTCGAATAACTGCCCGGTCGGTTAAAATCGCCTTATATGGGACCTTGTGATTCTCATTGTCAGCTCCAAAACCAATCTGTTTTTCCGCAGAGTTTCCAGCTCTTTTTCACTGACATGTCTAAAGTAATGTCATCAAATTTGCGGCAACTAATTTTACCGATGGATGGTCGGAGAATCTTCGAAGAACCATCACAACGTTGCAAA